TTTATGCCTCTTTATCAAGAACAGAAGTTTATATTCTGAGGTCCGTTCCCAGAACAGAGAGAACGTGAAACCTCTTGCTATATGTTCCGCTCCTCCTTGGTGCTATTTTCCACCTGGAGGAATTTACAGTTTTTGATCTTCTTTGTCAACATCTTACTTTCAGATAGCTCCTAGAGTTATTCCTTCAGTCCTTTCCTCTCTGGAGGAATCCCGTTCACACCAAGGGCTTTACTTATTAGTGTTAGATCATGTTTAATGAGCACTTTAAATGTGCTAGGCTTTGGGCTAAGCACTTCATCTGAGTTTTTTATTTTTTAATTGATTTTTTTTTTTAGAGTGATCTGAGACGAACATTAATTTGTTGTTCCACTTATTGATGCATTCATTGTTTCTTGTACCTGCCCTGACCAGGGATTGAATCTGAAACCTTGTCACGTTGGGACGATGCTCTAACCAACTGAGCTACCCAGCCAGGGCCTTCTGGGTTTTTTAATTCTTGTGAGCCATGATTTCCATCACTAAAAATAATAACAGGTGGCATTCTGAAATGCTTACTATGTATAAGGTACTGTTCTAAGAATTTTACTTATATTAATGTGTTTCATCCTCAATATGTAAAGAAGTACTTTGAGAGAAGTTGTCCTGCCTTGTTAAGGACTACTAATACTACTATTAGTCCTGTTTCAGAGACAGTACGGAGGCACCAAAAAATGATTAGAGTTTACCCAAGATTACACAATGTAGAAATAAATGAAAACAGGCAAAGTCAGTTTATTCAGAATGAGAGTGTAAATCACATTTTGGCAGACTCCAAGACAGGCAGGAGTTTTATAGCGGAGAAAAAGTATAGGCTTTAGGTGTGCCCTCATTGGAGGCTGTTGGCCTGAGAACATGGATGGATGTGAGCTAATTTCAGGCACCCTATTTGGTGAGGGGAAGGTATTTGGCTTTCTCCTGTTGGTCTTAAATTGGAAACAGGGTCAAAAATTAAGGAAACTGTCAGTGTCTAATCAAGTCCTGCCCTTTTGGACTGTTACAGGGATCATTGTTTCTTCCCTCCCCCTACCCCCGTGCCATCTCTGTACCTATGTTTCTGGGTTTTTGTTGTTGTTTTCTTTTTTTAAAGATTTTATTTACTTTTTTTTTTTAGAGAGAGGGAGAGGGAGAGAGGTAAAGAAACATCAGTTGGTTGCCTCTCACACATCCCCAGCTGGGGACCTGGCCCTCAACACAAGCATGTGCCTTGACCAGGAATTGAACCGACAACCTTTCAACTTGCAGGCCGGTGCTCAATCCATGAGCCACACCAGCCAGAGCTGTTCTATTTTTTTGTTTACAGGTTTTCTCTCAGACAAAAAGATTATAGGAGGGCAGTGACCTCATCTTTTCTATTTATCAGCAACATAGCATAGGGCCAACATATAGATTATCAATGAATTATTAAATGTATGAATAACTATGCATCATTTATAGATCAGAAGTTTCCACAAACCTTTCCTTGGGTTTAATTTGCTAGAATGGCTCACAGAACTCAGAAACATTTTACTCACTAGATCACTGGTTAATTATAAAAATATAACTCATTTGCCCTGGCCAGGGCAAGGTGTGGGGAAAGGGCAGGGAGCATCCATGCCCTCTTCAGGTGTTATTCTCCCCAAATCTCCATGTGTCCCCCAACCCAGTGATTAATTAAATCATTAGCTATTGTTGTTTGAACTCAATCTCCAGCCCTTCCCTGGGTGGACGGGAGATTCTGGATGTTCCAACCCTCTAATGGAGGGGTTGGTTCCCTTGGCCACCAGATCCCATCCTTAGGTAGATATTAAAAAAATCATTTACGTAGGCTCAGGTATGGTTACAGGGGTTTGTTATGAATATCCATAGACCTTTATGATCTTATCACTTTTGGAAATCCCAAGGGTTTTGGAGCTCTGTTCCAGAAATGAAGACCAAACATATTTCTCATTTCAAATCACAATATCACATTTAGTGATAAGTAGTAAGGGAAATAATATCAAGAAGGAAGGGGCATGGGGGTGTGCTAAATTTTAAGGTAGGGTGACCATGGAAGGCCTAAGGTGACATTGAAGGAAAGACCAGCCTGCAGTGAAGGACAAGACCATGCGGCCATCCAGAAGAAAAACATTCCAGGTTAGGTATGGGTTGCAAAGAGTGAAATGGGAGCATGCTGATGAAGCCCACGTGCCAGCAGCAGAGTGAGCACAGAGAGGAATGGGTCAGTTAAAGAGCAGCTTGCAACATGGGGCCTTTGCTTTTACCTGGAGAATGGAAATGACTGGAAGGTTTTAAAGAGAGGAGTGACATGGTGTGACCTACCTTTTAACCTGATTATGCCAGCTCTTCTGTTGGAAACAGACAATAGATGCGCAAGGGTGGAAGTCAAGAAAATGAATTAGGAAGTTACTGCAATCATCCAGGTGAGCGATGTCCTGGCTTTTGGCAACATGTTGGTAGTGAAGGTGAATGAGGTGGTCAAATTCTGGGTCTCCAGCATTTGGAAAGTAGTCCCTATAGGATTCAGTGACTGATTGAATGTGGAGGCACCAGTCACAATGTATTTTTTAAAGACATCGACATACTGTAATCACCAAGTCCATAGTTTACATTACAGTTCACTCTCGGTGTTGTACGTTCTACGGTTTTGGACGAATATACATGTATCCACCATTACAATGTCACACATAGTATTTTTCACAGCCTTAAAACTCCTCTGTACTCCACCTATTTACCCCTCCTTCCCCTCTAGCCCCTGGAAACCTCTCATTTTTTCACTGTCTCCATAGTTTTGCCTTTCCCAGAATGTCATATTGTTGGAATCATATCTTATGTAGTCTTTTCAGGTTGGCTTTTTCCACTTAGTAATAGGCATTTATGGTTCCTCCATGTCTTTTCATGGCTTGAAAGCTCTTTTCTTTTACTGCTGAATAATATTCCATTGTCCGGATGGACTATACTTTATCCATTCACTAAATGAAGGACATCTTAGTTGCTTGCAAAGTTTGGCAATTATGAATAAAGCTGCTATAAGCATGGGTGCAGGTTTTTGTGGGGGCCTAAGTTTTCAACTCCTTTGGGTAAATACCAAGGAGCATAGAATAATTTAGTTTTATCATAAGCTGCCAAACTGTATTCCAAAGTGACTACCATTTGCATTCCCACCAGCAATGAATGAGAGTTCCTGTAGTTCCACATCCATACCAGCATTTGGTATTGGCAGTGTCCTATATTTTGGCCATTATAATAGGTATGTAGTGGTATGTCATTGTTAATTTGCATTTTCACGGTGATATGCTGTGCAGAATCTTTTCATCGGCTTATTTGCCATCTCTATTTTCTTTCATGAGGTGTCAAAGTTTTTGGCCCATTTTTTTAGTCATGTTCTTTTTTTTTATTATTGAGTTTTCTTTCTTCTTTATTTTTTCATTTTTTAAAAGTTTATTTATTTTTAGACATACAGAAAGGAAGAGAGGGAAAGAAACATCAATGTGTGGTTGTTTCTCGCACGCCCCCTACTGAGGATCTGGCCTACAACCAAGGCATGTGCCCTGACTGAGAATTGAACTGGCAACCCTTTGGTTCACTGGCCTGCACTCAATCCACTGAGACACACCAGCCAGGGCTTTTTTTTTTTTTTTTTAAGATTTTATTTATTTACTTTTAGAGAGAGGGGAAGAGAGGGAGAGAAACATCAATGTGTGAGAGACAGAGTGATCAGTTGCCTTTCACATGCCATCATTTGGGGACTTGGCCTGCAATCCAGCCAAGTGCCCTGACTGGATATCAAACCAGTGACCTTTCAGTTCGCAGGCCAGAGCTCAATCCACTGAGCCACATCAGCCAGGGTGTATTGTTGAGTTTTAAGAGCTCTTTGTATATTTTGGGCAACAGTTCTCTATTAGATATGTCTTTTGCAATATTTTTTCAAAGTTTTTAATTTTAACATAGTCCAGCTTATCAATTCTTTCTTTCATGGATCGTGCCTTTGGTGTTATATCTAAAATATCATTGCCAAACTGTACGTCATCTATATTATCTCCTAGGAGTTTTACAGTTTTATAACCTTAATTTTACATTTTGGTCTATGATGAATTTTGAGGTAATTTTTTGGTCAGGGGTATAAGGTCTGTGACTACGTTTTTGTTTTTTGGGGAGCTTTTTTGGGCATGTGGATACTCTCACAATAGTTTTTAATAAGAATCTTTACTTGTTGTAGAGAGAAGAGAGGTTGGAGAATATATTTGCAAGCCATATTACCAAAGAGACAAAAAAATAGTGTTAGCCAGCCAAGGGTTAGTCCTGGCTACACATTGTTTCAATATATGTATAAATATCAAAAGTTGGTACTGATAACATTCTAATAATTTCTTAAGCAGAAAGGTAGATGTAGGGGTCATTTTATAAATGCATGTTTTATACCTGTGTGTTTTAGCTTTTGTAAAAAAAAATGTGGAATATAATACACATATTTTAAAAAAAAGATCTAGAATATAAATGTATGGTATAAACAATAATTCTCAAATACCTGAATAAATACCTGTCAGGCCAAGAAAAAGAATACCACCAATATTCCAGAAGGCCCAAGAGCGCTTCCTGACATTCCCTTCCCCACTCAAAACTCCTGTTCTGAAACAGTAACACTCACCTCCTTCTTCTGTTCATGTGTTATTTTTATTTACATCCTTGTATGCATCTGAAAAGTTTCATTAAAATCTTTTCAAAAGGGAAGTCTAGCCCTGGCTGGTGTGGCTTAGTGGATTGAGTGCCAGCCTGAGAACCAGAGGGTCATCAGTTCAACTCCCAGTCTGGGTTGCAGGCCAGGTCCCCAGTAGGGGGTGCACAAGAGGCAACCACACATTGATGTTTCTCTCCCTCTCTTTCTCCCTCCCTTCCCCTCTCTCTAAAAATAAACAAATAAACAAATAAATAAATATATTTTTTTAAAGAAAGGAAGTCTAACACTGTGGGAATGGCTTAGGCTTCATTCAGAGTCAGAAAGACCAGATTTTAAATCCCAGCCATGCTACTTACTAGCAGTGTGACCTTGGACAAGTCATTTCCCCTCCTCCAGGCTTTTCCTTGTCTGTATAAGCAGATGCACATGGCCACACATCCCAGGACTGTCCTAAGGATTCAAATCACAAACTCCACATTTATTCAACAAGTTTATTGAGACCTCTTGGGACCTAAACCCTGCAGGAAATAGAGATGAATCCAACCCAATCTTCACTCTCAAGAAGCTCACAGTTTGGAAATAGGTAATTACAAAAATAACACAGCCAATAAGTGCTTGGAAACAGGGAGGGACATAAAAAAAATGTACTGTTTATAAATTTCCAATCAAAAATTAACCGTCGGGAGAGGTAGGAAGCCTATCCTCTCACGCAGAGATGAACTTGGGACTATCTAGAAAGGCTCTTGCCACAGACACAGCCACACCCCATAGGTCTCTGGAGTTCACTGCAGGCTGGCCCACTGCAGGGAGGTGTAGACCACCTTACCATCAGGCTGCGGAGAACAGAGGAGCAAGGTCTTTCTGACACTGGTTCCAAGGCGGCCAGCAGAAACCAGGTCCTGAAGTGGGATGGGATCCCCAGGAGCCCAGCACTGGGCAATGTAGTGGGCGTGGAAACGGAGTGGGTCACCTGGGTGAGGAAGAGAGGCATGCAGCAATTTCCAATAGCACAGGCTGGAAGACATTAGACTACCCATAGGTAGGAGACAGGGAATCATTTTAGCAATCACTGTATTTTAAAGGATACCCTTAGATTCAGAAATTTGTCTTCCTGAAATTTTTCTCAAGAAGTATAGAAGTATAGCAGCACGAAAATCCCACAGCGCTAACACTCTCACCTCATCTGCAGAAGACTTAGTGGACAGTCTCCAATCAACAGTTAAGCTCTGGCTACTTATGAGGTAGCTCTATCTTTTCACATTTTTAGGGAGAATAAAAAGGGCGATTCTCTGCATTGTTTTTTAACTTTTAGTTACATAGTAAAGGCACCCTTACTACAAATTTATGTTAACTGATTCATCAAAAGTCCAGCCCTGGTTGGTGTGGCTCAGTGGATTGAGTGCCAACCTGTGAACCAAAACGTCGCCAGTATGATTCCCAGTGAGGAAACATGACTGGATTGCAGGTCAGGCTCCCAGTGCGAGAGGCAAACAATCGCTGTATCTCTTGCACATCGATGTTTCTCTTCCTTTCTTTCTCCCTCCCTTCCCCTCTAAAAATAAATAAATAAAATGTCTTTTTTAAAAAGTACCTTTACCTATACCTGATGCAAATTCCCTCCCAGAAGTAACTAGTTTGGCTACAGTACATCCTTTCATGCCTTTTTCTACTTTTCTGATAGGATTCTCTTAGTCTACTTAGTACTCTATTTTATTATTAAGTTCTTTTCATATTCTTTCACTTGAACCACAATTTTTAAGGTTACTTAAATAATGTGTATATAACTGAATAACAAGATAAAATATGATTTATTTTTAGTATACACGTTTTTCTGTAAGCTATTCTTTTATTCTTCTTTTGGTCATTTAAAAAATAAGTGTACATGGACCTATACCAATCTGACAACTGATGGTGTTTCTCTGACAGCTAACAGTGATGTTTAAGCTATTATTCATTATTCTAGTTGTTATCTAACTTTTGAATACTGTAAGGAATCCTGCAATGAATATTCCTTGCATGTTTGGTATACATAGCTAAGTATTTCTAACTGAACCTTCCAGATGAAAGGAAGTGTTACTAAAATTTACTTATACTGCCCTCCAAATAAGCTTGGGTTCCCAAGTGTTTCCTGTCCTTCCATGTATTTCAGAAACTGAGAAAATGAGACTAAGGGAAAAATGCAGAATGTGGTGGGATTGTGAAGAAAGGGTCAGCAACCAGAGGTCCCAACCCAAACTCACCAGGATAAACAAGGAAGTCGCCCCCAAATTTGCCGGCCGCACTGAGGAAGAAGCCTCGCTCCCACAGGTCTCTGTAGATGCTGTAGCGCAGCTCATGGGCTGGGCGGCCAGCATGGGGCCAGTCCTTGGACTGGACACGCCAATCCAGGGGTCTAGCCTTGATGGGTCGAGGCCTACCAGTGGCTAGTTGGACGAGCATAGCAGACCTGGGCAAGGGGGCCACCCCGTCTGAAGGCCCTGGGTGGGGAGAGGAGGAGCCTGAGGGAGGTGAACCCAAGAGTTTGGTGACTCCAAGACGCAAAGTCTTCCCATCCCCAAGGGAGACCCGCCCGAGAGTCCCAGCCAAAATTCCCAAAAGTTCTCTCCCCTTCTTCCCCCGGTCCCCGGTCTCCAATTCCCATCCTCACCTGCTTCCTCCTGCTCTCCAGAAACCTGGCTAGCACTGCCCTCATTCTCTACAGCTGCTTGGTTCCCACCGGCTTCCTGGCTCTTGCTGGTCCCTGAATCCTGTTGAAGCTTCTGCTTCTTGGCAGCCTGGCCCTCTGCAATCTTCCCTAAGAGCTCCTGACGACGGGTCTCACGGGCCTCAGCTGCCAGGGCGCTTTGCTCCTGGAAGCCCTGCTCTTGCTGGCGCTTGTAGGATGCCACAGCCTGAGAAGTAAACTTAGCTGCAACCTCAGGATACAGGTATACCTTCCTCCAGGAAGCCAGGAATCCTGACTCCCTGACCCTTCCCACTTCAGGGCCCGAACCTGTAGATCCCGGTCTACCATTCCCACGCTATCCCAGAATCCAGGACTCGCAGACTCCTCCCCCTACTCAGGGACCCGGAGTCCAGGTCTCTAGCCTCTTCTCCCGCAGGTCGAATTCGCGCCCCCAGCCCGCCCCCCTTACCAGGCAGTGCTGGCGGGGATCCGGGCGCGGGGCGCTGACCAGGGTCACAGCGCCGATCTCAGCCAGAAGCCGCGCCTCCTCAGGCATCAGCAGCAGCGGGAGGCCCAGGCGCGAGTTCTGACGGGGCCCGCGGGGCAAGGCGCCCACCGTGCGGCCCCCTACTCCCAGACGCTCCCGAAGCGCCTGCACCGCTTCGGCCCCCCACACCAGGGAGCGGCCGTTCGCCACCTCCACCACCAACATCCTCCTGCGGAAGCCGGGGCACCGTGGTTACCGACAGAGCTGCCCCGGGCGCTCCCACCGCCTCGGGGGTCTCGATGAAGCACCGCCCCTGGGCCTCGTAGGGCTGAGACTCGCCTGCGCCGTGGTTCGCCACCTGTGAAGTCTGAGGGCCAGGCCCCGCCCCCTGGCGCCAGGCTCCGCCCTCGGGTGATTCCCGCCAGGCTCCGGGCTCCGGGAGGCAAGTCCCCGCCCCTCGACGAGGCGTCGGAATCCGCACTCCGGTCTGGGCGAAGGCTGCCATGACCGCCATCGTGCGGTCGCGCCTTCGCGCCTCCGAGAAAAGCCTCGCAGTGGAGTCACACCCCTTTCGAGAGGTCCATTGGCACCGTCCTCTCGCAAAGCGGGTGTGTCCCTTCGGGCGTTCCGATCAGCTGTCGGGACCTCCCGAGGCAAAGGCCCAATCCGATTCGGATTGCTAGGAATTTGGCTCCTCCCACAGCACGAAGCCCGCCCCTTTCCGAACAGAAGCGGGTCTGCGTTTGGAAGTCTCGGCTCGCCCGAAGGAAAGCCCCGCCCCTTTCCGAACCGAAGCAGTTCGGTGTTCGGGCTACGCAGGTTCGGGTCTTCCGCAGCCTGTGGCCCCGCCCCCTCCGGCCGCCAGCCCTCCCCTAGTAGGGGAGGCCCCGCCCCAACACCAAGCCCCGCAGCCGGAGGCCCCGCCTCCTGGGCGCGAGCCTTCACTTCTCCCCTCGTGCGGGCTCACCCCACTCGTGGGCCCACGGTCGCCTCCTCGCTTCCCTTCAGAATATGGCACCGTCGTCCAATACAACCAGTTAGTCACCTCGTAAACACCCACTCGCAGTCCCAGCGGAGCACCTCCTACTTAGCGCGCCACGCACTGCTTCTTCCACACGAACCCCGCCATGAGGCTCCCCGCTGAGTCGATTTCGTCAGGTCGACTCCTCGGCGAAGCGGGAAGTCGTAGCCCCGCCTTCCTCCTGAAGTGAAACACCTTAATCCCGCCCTCCGAAGCGCACTTCCCTCTGCTGTTTTGGTTCCGCGACTTCGGAAGAAGCGTATTACCCTGGCCCCGCCCTCCTCGGTCGGCGGGGCCCGGAGCCCCACCCCTTCACAAAAGGACGCAGCTGGCCCCGCCCCCTGGGAAATCTGATCACCGTCTCTTTCACTTGGTCTAAGCCTGTGGCCCCGCCTCCCTCCTGAATGTGAGACTCCGCCTATCAGCGAACTTAGGTCACTTGCACACAATTGTGTCCGAAGGAAACCGAAGCTGTAGTCCCTCCCACCTCCGTCCGACACTCTTGGCCCCGCCTACTCCCGAACGCAGACCTTCAGTACTCGACTACCTCCGAAGAACACCGAAGCTCTTGGCTCCGCCTCCAAGCTTCCTCCCGCCTTATTCCGAAGGCAGTCCAGGCCCCGCCTCCTTCCCCGGCCCAACCGGTCCCTAGGAGCCCCGAGCTCCGGCGCCTCCGCCTTCGGAGCGCGAAGCCCCGCCTAGTTGTGTTTTCGGCTGGGTAAATCCTGCCTCCCGGTCTAGACGCGGACGCGTGCTCCCGGCGCCGGGTGCCAGCTCCTCCCCGGCCTAGCCCATAACCTGACGGGATCCGTGCATCCAGCTCCGGATCGCGCGGCTCGGCCGGCCGCCGAGAGAAGCGGGGACGCGTGGGGCGGGGAGGCGTGGCCGGCCCGGGGTGGACCGCCGGCCGGGACTGCTCGGCCGCCTCCCGCCCGGCGGGCGCCGCGGAACCGGGCCCAGGTGGGCCAGGGTGTGGAAGCCGGTAGACGCGGAGGGGTCGCTGCGCATCGGGGGCGAAGGCGGCGCTGGACTGCAGCCGAGCTCTGGGTGGCGTAACCGCCTGTAGCTTCGCCGGGCGGACTTGACCGCAGTGGGTGGGCGGGCCTGACCCCGATGGGTGAGCGAAGCCGGACTGGGATTGGGGACTGGGCCTGAGAAGACCCTTATGTGGCCAGCTCTTCGGGTTGTAGGCAGAAGTGGGGTCTGGAGCTCCGAAAGAGGCGCTGGAGGCCTGGGCTCCTCTGAGTCCTCTAGAAGACGGGTGTGGGTCTGGAGACCTGCGTGCTCGAAGAGGGAGGCGCTGGGAGACCAGAAAGCCATGGGTTGGGTTCCTGGATCCTCGAAGGAGGAGGGGGCTGGAGGTCTGGGCTCTCAAAAGAGGGGCCCTGGGGGTGGAATCCACAAACCTCAAAGGAGGAAGGGCCTAGAGGTCCAGATTCTTCTGTTCTCAGAGGAGAGGAGCTGAGGGTAGGACTCCACGGTCCTCGACAACTGGGGCCAAGGGACAGATTCCTGAGTCCTCGAAGGGGGAGGGGCTGGGGGGTCCTGTATTCCTGGGTTCTCATTAGGAGCCTCTGCCCCTCCCCCAGACCATGTCGCCCGAAGAATGGACATATCTAGTGGTTCTTCTTATCTCCATCCCCATCGGCTTCCTCTTTAAGAAAGCTGGTGAGTCAGGTTCCCTCCCCAGTGGAAAATAAGGAGGGGGGAGCAGCGTGGGGGGAGCCCCCTGGAAGGCTTCAGGCTTATGTTGTCTCTTGTCCCTGCAGGACCTGGGCTGAAGAGATGGGGGGCAGCCGCTGTGGGCCTGGGGCTCACCTTGTTCACCTGTGGCCCCCACACTTTGCATTCTCTGATCACCATCCTCGGGACCTGGGCCCTCATTCAAGCCCAGCCCTGGTGAGGATGGGGTGCGGGGAGAATAGAGGGTGAGAGGAAGCAACCTGTTTCCTCTTTGGGTCTTTCTCTATTTCTGCCGCACTGTGTGGACACCTCTTGTTTATCTCTTGTTTTTTTGTGTCCTTTGCCTGTGTTTTCCTCTCCTGCCTTCTTTGGGGTCTCATCCCTGTGTGTTTGTCTGGGTCCTCTACATCCGTGTCATGGATTCAGGAAAGAGGAAGACATGACTGTCTGCTGGCACCATTGGCATTCCCTCTCCTTCCCTCCCTCTCTCCCCCTTCCTCCCAGTAGAAAGCGTTCACCCTGAAGCTCTCTTTACCTCTCCCCTTTGTTTCCTCTGTTACTGTGCATATTTGTATGTGGCTGTGCATCTTCTCCTGCTGTCTCAATCTTGCTCATTCTGCCCCCACCCTCCTTCCCCCATTTTCTGTCTCTGAAGGTGGGGAGGTGGCAGAGGACATGTAGATAGAATCTGGGACGGTGGAAGCCAAGTCCCTGAGCTCAGCACCCCCGCCTCCTTCCTCCATCCCAGCTCCTGCCACGCCCTGGCCCTAGCCTGGACCTTCTCCTACCTCCTGTTCTTCCGTGCGCTCAGCCTGCTGGGTCTGCCCACTCCCACGCCCTTCACCAATGCCATCCAGCTGCTGTTGACGCTGAAGGTCAGAATCCCCTCCCCCCTCCCCTGTGCCAGTTAACCCCCAACTTTACCTACTCCTCCCTGCCACTCCCACGGGGGAAAGGGGAGGCGGGACTTTATCTCCCACACACCCAGGGGCGGGACTTCAACTCTTACCTCTTCCCTGGGATAAAGAGGTATCCCAAATAATGCATGCGTGGATACCAGATGCTGAGCTAAGGGCTCACTAACGTGCCCTCCTTGCATCTTTGGAGCAAGCCATTTTGCAAAAGAGGAAGGCCAGCTTTGGGGAGAAGGCCGTTATCTAAGGACATGAACCCGGGACACCCAGGTCTAAATCGCCTGGGAAGATGGGTGAAAACCGATTCCCAGGCCCCACCCCGGTGGTGAGTTCCCACTGTGCCCTGGGCTCCGGCGACATATCAGTGAGTAGCGAGCCAGGTCTCATCAGGGTGGGAGTTCGGGACAGGCAGCTGTTGCTTAGCGAGAAGAGTTGGAGGAACGGCCTCTCTTCTGGCTGAGTAGAGACGGCGCGTGTAGAAGGGAGCAGCTGGCTTCCAGCCGTGCGCCGGCCCCACAGACTGGCCAGAGAGGGAAGGAGGAGCAGCAGGGGCCACGCCACACAAGGCAGGTGGCCTTCTTAGCCAACGTGAGGAGTCTGGACTTCTTCCCATGGGGGCCCAAGATCCCTTGGAAGCGGTTTTTGGTTGGCTGCTGTCAGGTGACCAGATTCGCACATTTAAAAATAACTCACTCTGGGTGCTTCGAGGAGATTGCGGCAGAAAGGGCAAGATGGGAGGAGGTCAGGCCCCTTAATCAAAGTCCCGCTGGCAAACAGCGGTGGCGGCTTGCTCAGGTTGTCAGTAGGTCGGGCCGTTCGAGTCCCAGCAGGAAACACTGCCTTTAGGACAGTTTGAGGAGTCATGATTTACAACGGGGTGGAGGACATGCAGGAGCCAGGAGGGACAGCGCAGGCGTCCTGGACCAGCAGCCGGGGGGTGGCGCCAGGCGCTGAGACAGGGCACAGGTAGGGGAGCCTGGAAGGAGAAGGCGTGTGTAGAGGCATCCATCCTGAGAAGACTGACCTGGTGTCGTGCTGGCCCAAGGTGGTCCTACAAGGGAATAAAACGCCAGCCCTCAGTCCTGCCTTCCTCCTTCTCCAGCTGGGGCTCCCGGTGGACTAAACAAGAAGTGGGGAGGCACGGAAGCCTGTTGGTGCAGGGCCAGCTTTGGGTCTGTGCGGAGAAGGGTGGAGAGCAGACGTGGCGGGCCAGGCCGAGCATATTCAGCCCGGTGGTGGAAGCAAAACAAAAGAGAGACCTGAAGGAATAGATCTGGGGAGCAAGGAAGGCTTCTGGCCTGTGCCGTTCATTGGATGGCGGTGGCATCGCCTGAGGGGAGAGTCTAGAAGCAGAACCAGTTTGGGGAACGGGGGATGCCAGGTTCCGCTGTGCACGTGCCCAGTAGACATCCGAGTATGGAGAAGAGGCAACTAGATGAATAGGTTTGGAGGAGAGAAGTCTGGCCGGGGGTAGAGTTTGGGAGTCACGAGGCGCCGGAGGGGCAGGTGAGGGGCATCTAAAGCTGCAGAGGGCAGAACGTAGAAGGAAGGAACAGAGAAAGAAGACAGGAGGGCCCAGGAGTGAGCCCTGAGGAACGGCTGCCAGCAATGGAGGTACAACAGTGCTGTCAGGACAGCCCTAGATGCCGCCTGGGAGTAGCTGAAGCTGCACCCCAGCTTCCCGTGGCTCCCACGAGGGGCAGCTTAAGGGAGAGGGTGTGAGGGGGTGCCGGGTCTGACCTGTCCCCCTCCCACGCCCCTTCCTCCCAGCTGGTCAGTCTGGCTAGTGAGGTCCAGGACCTGCACCTGGCCCAGAGGAAGGAAATGGCCTCGGGCTTCAGCAAGGGGCCTGCCCTGGGGCTGCTGCCCGACGTCCCCTCTCTGATGGAGACGCTCAGCTACAGCTACTGCTACGTGGGAATCATGACAGGTGAGCGCACCTGCCCCGCAGGCCTGCCTCTCCTCGCCCTCTTTCCATTCCAGCCTCTGCTGCTCAGAGGGGGAGCTCTCTGACCCCGCCCTGGCCCCCAGGTTCCTCCTGGGGAGACGCGGGTTGTTCCCAGTCTGTGATCATTGTTGCTTTTGGGGAGCTAATAGGAGATAAAGCAGAAAAGTCTGCGTATTAGTTTCAGAAAATATTTGTCATCAACGTTGACCTCATCCAAGGTTTTCGTTTTTATGACAACTTTACTGAGCTGTAAGTGACATATTGTCCCACTTACCATCACAGCCAGCTCACTGGTTTTTGCTATATTCATGGAATTGCGCGGCCACCCCACCACATAGCTGTAGAACAAGTCCTTCCCCCCAGGAGGAAACACTGCCCCCTGTGGCCGTCATCCCCCCAACCTCCCTGAAACCCACCCCACCCCCCCCACCCCCGTCCCTGGAGGCCACTGGAGATTATTAACTCTCTGTGTCGTTTTGCGTATTGCAGACGACTTAGAATGAAAGCACATGCTATGCGGCCTTTTGTGACATGTAAGGCTCCTCACCCGGGTCACCTCTGCTAACCCCCGCTGTCCCTGCCCCAGGCCAGGCCATCGTGTCGTCTGAAACAGTCCCCCACTTCCCATCGCTGTCCCTCTGCCATCCCCGCCCTGCTCGGCGGCCGAGAGGGTCTCGTGAAAGGTGACCGGCACTCGGCCCTTCCTACTGGAACACCTCGCCGGTGTTTCCTCGTGCTGAGAACGAAGCCCAGAGCCCTCCAGGGTTCCCGGGAATGGGGTGTCCGTCCGTCCGTCCGTCCGTCCGTCGGTCCGTCTGACTCTGTTCGCATCAGAGCCTCATTGCCTCTCCCTGTCGGGGGTCTTTGCCCCTCTCTATAATTATCCATCTTTTCTTCTCTCTGAGTCTCTTGTCCCCCCCTCTGCTTCCTTGTCCCTTTCCCTCTGGGTCTCTTTCCCCGGTCCCCGCTGGGCGCAGTCTCTGACAGCTGCCCCCGCCCCTCCCGCCGCAGGCCCGTTCTTCCGCTACCGCACGTACCTGGACTGGCTGGAGCAGCCCTTCCCGGACGCCGTGCCCAGCCTGCGGCCCCTGCTGCGCCGCGCCTGGCCGGCCCCGCTCTTCGGGCTGCTCTTCCTGCTGTCCTCGCACCTCTTCCCGCTGGAGGCCGTGCGTGAGGACGCGTTCTACGCCCGCCCGCTGCCCGTCCGCCTCTTCTACATGATCCCCGTCTTCTTCGCCTTCCGCATGCGCTTCTACGTGGCCTGGATCGCGGCCGAGTGCGGCTGCATTGCTGCCGGCTTCGGGGCCTACCCCGTGGCCGCCAAAGCCCGGGCCGGGGGCGGCCCCACCCTCCAATGTCCACCCCCCAGCAGGTCAGGCAGCGCGAGGGAGGCAACCCAAGACCCGGCAGGCCCCATCACCACGGGCTGGCCCTGCCCCTAGCCGGGAGGATATTGGGGAGCACGGGCAGGTCCACTGCCTTTTGTTGGCACAGTGTCACCCCCGGGCCACCACAGCCCACCTTCTCCTGTCCTAGGGAAGAGCGCCCCTAACACCTATGGATAACCCTTTGTTGCTAGTGTTTGTCACCCTTTGGGATGTGAGGAATTGCTTCTAGTTGCTAGGAAAGGGAAGGTGGTGTCCTAGCAACCATTTGCCAGCCCTCTGTTGCCATAGAAGTGTCACCCCAATAACCTGATTGTTCCTGGTTGTTGAGGATGCTACCCTTGGGCAGTGATGCGTTGTTCTTTGTTGCTAGGGAAACGGTTCATTAGCAACTGGACATCCCTGGTTGCTAGGGAAGCAGGTTTCCTAGCAACCTCGGTCCAATTCTCCCAGCCAGAAGGGATGCTCTTTGCTGCTATGGAAATGGCAACCCCTAAACTGTCCCATGGTTGCTAGGATCCAGCAACCCCCCCCCCACCATGGGGTGTCATCACACAGCTTGCAGTTGCCCCGTTTCTAAAGACGTGGCATCCCTGATGGTGCTGGCCTCTGGCAGAGGGGACACCATTCCCAGCAACTGTAGGTCTCCTCCGCATGCTGCTGCGAAAGACAATCCCCCTGGTAACGATGGATTGACATCGTTGCTAGTAATGCCGCCCCTCCAGCTCCTTCCGAGCTGCGCGGTCACACTGGTGGTAGGTCAACTAACGCCTCGCCTGTTGCTGAGGAAGTGTTGCTAGGAAAATGGTGCCCCTGCAACTGAGAATGGACCGCCTCTCTGTTCCTTGCACCCACAGTCAGCTTCTGCCAAGGCTGGGGGAGCAGCTCCTCGGTGTCAATTATAAAATATTCCTTGGTAGGGCGTGGCCATCCCCCAGCACATACAAACTGCCATTCCGTCGTGGTGGAGGCGGCCCCCCAACAGGGATTTTTTTCTCACTGCCATTGGGTGGCCCTGCAGTTACTGGAGAGGGCGTCCCCCAGGAAACTGTCAAGTCGAAACCGAAGCCTTTTCTAAAAAAAATTTTTTTAATTTATTGATTTGAGAAAGAGAAGAACATCAATTTGTTGTTCCACTGATTTATGCATTCACTGGTTGAGTCTTGTATGTGCCCTGACTGGGGATTGAACCCACAACCTTGGCATATCGGGGCCGTGCTCTAACAAACCGAGCTACCCAGCCAGGGCCTGAAGGCTTTTCTAGCCCTGCTAGCCCTACCCCAAGTGGATGGCTCCCCTCCATTATCAGAAGCCACCAGGGGTTCACGTGGGCCAGGGATGTCCCTTCCATGCTGGGGGTGTTGACATCAGTGACTCGGGAGCCACCATATTGCTGGGGATGGCGCTTCTCAAACAATCGTAAGGACCAATAGCCAAAGGCCCTTTCTGCAACCTTTTCTAGACATCCCAGAGGTCGCTGCTAAGGAACACCCTTTCCCTAGCAACAGAGACCATCCAGGCCGAGAACATCTCCCTAGCAACACGGACCACCTCATTGTTTAAGATGCTGCTTCCCTAGCAACCGCAGGGTCCGACAACTCAAAAGGAACTGCACTCGGAGGTTTCTCTAAATACACCGAGTTTGGTTGCTAAGGAATGGCCTTTTCCTGGCGTCGGAGACCAGTGCAGGGTCAGGTTGCTAAGGGACAGCGTAGCAACGAGAAGCCCTTAAGGGCTTTTCTCGCAGGGCCCCATTTCCAAGAGGACAATTGACGTGAACTCTGCGCCCCCCCCCCCCACTGTCCTCCCCAGAAAGGCTCCTTCTGGGCCACCCTCCTCTGTTGCCCTAGCCAACGTGACAGCCAGAGAGGGCTGTCATCTGCCCAGGATCCCCTCCATGGCATCGGGGCTGGGACAGTAGCCGGTGTCGGGAAGGGGCCTGGCTGAGTTGCATGTCTGTCCCCTGCCCTCATCCTCCACCCCCCAGTCCGGAGAAGGCGGCTGCCCTGGAGTACGACTATGAGACCATCCGCAACATCGACTGCTACCGCACAGATTTCTGCGTGCGCGTGCGGGAGGGCATGCGGTACTGGAACATGACGGTGCAGTGGTGGCTGGCGCAGTACGTGTACAAGAGCGCGCCCACCCGCTCCTACGTCCTCAGGTGAGCCTGCCCCTCCCCGGACCACAGGGAACTACATCTCCCAGCAGCACCCGGGGCCGCCTGCGGCTTCTCCGGCTGGGCCTCCACCCCTGGCGGTCATGGGAGTCGTAGTTTCTTGAACCTCTTGCGCTTCCGTGGTTTGCATTACTCTGGGTGAATTCTTCTCTGTGCCTGGGCCTCGGTTTCTACCTCTGTAAAGTCAGCCGCACTGGACAGAAGGAGTACAGTGAGTCCTGCGGACTCACTAGGCAGACTTTCTAGAACCTCAGCTCCGAAAATTACCACTAATTTTTGGGGCAGTGAGTTCTGTTCCCTCTAACACATGGGGGCAATGCGGTTACCTCTTTCGTAGGCTGATGTGAGGATTGAGCGAGATAAAGTGTGGCACGTACTTAATGTGAGGCCTGGCAGCTGCGTGCGAGCTGTGTATTCGTTTCCACTGTTCTTCACTCACCCACTGTTTCTTGGGTGGAGACCTTGTGCCCTACCTCTTCTTGACAACCTTGAGATGTAGGAACTGTTATCCCCATTTTACAGATGAGGGGAGTGAGACTCGGGCAGGTTAGGTCATCTCCCCAGGGTCCCTCAGCCTCCCTGGAGACCCCAGATGAGGTCAGGATACCCGGTGACGCTTTCTCACAGTGAAGCCATGAGTGGTGGGAGTTCTGAAGGTGGACTTAGCCGGGCGTGTGGTCCGATGGATGATCTAAAGGTCGATTCTGGCCTTTGCGTGTGGGAAGTGGTAGGGTCGGGGGAGGCGGCAGGAGGTAAAGCCGGGGATGAATTTGGAGCCCTTGGGGCTGGCCAGGTGGGAGGCGATGGTGTCCTGGAGTAGGGAACAGAGGCTGGAAGTGGGTGGGTTTGAGAACTGGATTCAGGCATGGTCTGGACGGGATGTGGGGCATGAGAAAGGGAGCCAGTGACTGAAGGCAGGGCAGGGCCCTGGGCTGAGAGGGGGCAGACTGGGCAGGAGGAAGCTGCGGGAGCAGGTGCGATAAGGAAGTGCGCTCTGGGCTAACTTAGAGGTGACTGTTAGCTTTCCTGCTGGGGGTGTAGGGTAGGCAGTGAGTTACGGGATTCCGGTGGGTCACAGAGAGGCTGGTAGAAGAAGCAGGCGCTTGAGCATCGTCAGGTGCAGGTGATACTGCAGCTCGGGGCTCTGCCATGTTTAAACCAGGGGTTCTCGACTGGCCAGCGGTGCTGGCCCCAGGGCACATTTGGCAGCGTGTGGGATGTTTTTGTCATAACCAAGAGGTGCTTCTGGCATCTAGCGGGTCGAGGCCAGGGATGCCGCTTGGCGTCCTCGGATGCTCACAGGACAGTCCTACAACAAGGCACCGGCCAGCCTCAAATGTCCGTAATGCTGAGACTGAGGAAGTCTGGTGGGGACCAGGGACAAGAAGGAGCAAAGACACAGCCGTGAGAGTAGAGGACAGTCAGGAAAGCGTTCACTCCAGAAGGGGGTGGGGTGAGGAAACCAAACGTTTCAAGGTGGAGGGAGGCCTCATTCTTGTCAGACGCTTCCGGGAGCTCAGTGCAATGAAGGCCGGGGGGACCGCTGGGGTGGGCGTGATGCAAGGCAGCCACCTGAACGGGAGCAGCGAGGAGGGCGGAAGTGAGAGCCACACTGGGCGGGTCCCAGAGGGAACGGAAGGGAGACACGAGAGGAGCAGGGAGGGGTCTTTGGAGAGTGTCTGCAGCACTGGGAGCGGGGAAGGAAGCGTGGGAAGCAGAAGGGATGGAGGACGAGTCTGGCTCCCCTGGCTGGGAGTCCTCCTCCCCTGCCCTGGGCACTCCCCGCTGCCCTGGGGAATCGATCTTTAAGTCCTGCCAACCCAGAGAATTCTCTCTCCGCCATCAGCAGGAAAGAAAGAACGCAGCTCTGTTACTGAATATGCATTAAAGCAGATTGCTGTGCATGTCACAGGTCACCCACTAGTGAGGTGACCAAGACGGAAAGAAACCTCACCCTGTTTACACGGCCCGCCCACCCCTACCCCGGCCCCTTACAGTCCTTTGCACAGCACGTCCTCAAGAAAAACATAACGTGGCCTCAAGGAAGTGCCTCCTTTCACGTTCATCCCAAACTCACCTGGTAATTGGGGGAGCCCCCTGTGCTAACAAACAGTCCTTATGGGAAGGAAGAACATACTGCTGTCTCTCTGACGAGCAGGTGCTGACAGCTGGCAGGCCCCGGGTGAACCCCTACAGGGGCGGGGAGATGGGACTCTAGCTTCCAGACATTTAAGTAGCAAAGGCATGGCTCGCAGGCCCTGAGAAAAACGTCCCTGGATTGCAATGCTGTCTAGACCCTCATTTTGCCTTTTCGAAGATTTACACCCACGTGTAAATCTACACAGATTTACAGAAGACCGAAGAATGCTCCTCAGACACTAGGTTTTTTCAAGGAAATGGCTTAAGAAAAGACGGAGGAAGAGGTCTCTCCTTTTGGCAACCTGGGGCAGTCGGCACTGTTCTGTCCCCAGGTAGCTTTTGTCCCTCAGGCCTTCTGAGTCGGCAGAAGGGAAAGTGGCCACGGGCAGGGCAGAACCCCACGCCCACCAGCTCACCACAAGACCACACAGGGAGGCGCCCGGGCCGGCTGAGGTTTCTGGGTGCCCCAGGCACATGGGATCAGAGCCCGAATATGTGGGTTTTCAAGGGCTGGTATTTGGGGTCCATAAGGAGGGGGGATCGTAGCTAGAGATCGCTGAGTCACCATGGGTCAGGAATTTTGATCCTGGATCCCCCCAAAGAGGAAGTGGGTGGGGGCCCGGGGGTCTGGGTGATGGGGGTGGGTGAACTGGGTTCCTGGAAGGAGGAGACTCCCAAATCTGAAGGAGGAGGGGCCGGGGCCTGGACCCCTGGGTCCTGACGCTCTCCCTCCCGCAGGAGCGCTTGGACCATGCTGCTGAGCGCTTACTGGCACGGCCTCCACCCTGGCTACTACCTGAGCTTCCTGACCATCCCGCTGTGCCTGGCCGCCGAGGGCCAGCTGGAGTCCGCGCTGCGGTGGCGGCTGGGCCCGGGCGGCCAGCAGGCCTGGGACTGGGTGCACTGGTTCCTGAAGATGCGGGCCTACGACTACATGTGCATGGGCTTCGTGCTGCTCTCGATGGGCGACACCCTCCGCTACTGGGCCTCCATCTACTTCTGCATCCACATCCTGGCCCTGGCGGTCCTGGGCCTTGGGCTGGCTTTGGGTGGCGGCGGCTCCAGCCGGCGGAAGGCAGCCTCCCAGGCCGCCAGCCTTGCCCCGGAAAAGCTCCGGGAGGAGTAAACGGCCGACGCTCCCTCTGCCACTCGGTGTTGTCACGGGGCTTTTGCCTGGGAATTCTGTGAACCAGGTTGCCGCCTCCTGTCCCAGAAAGAGTCCTGGATGCGGCTCGGGGCCTGGGGCCTGGTGAGGATTCCCGCCTCCGCTCGGTACCTGCCTCTCATGGGCCAAGGCTCTCCCTGGCTCCCTGCCCACCGCACCGGTGGCTCCAGAAAGTGTTTCCCTCCTGCAGAATCCAGATGCTGTCTAGATAAGACTCCCTTTGTCCCTGCCAAGCTTCAGGTTTTCAGAGAGAACTGGACTCTGGACTCTGGACTCCCCCAAACAGCAGGCACAGAGGGGTGAAGTCCCCTCCTCTGCCCCACGGCGCGGGGAGGAGCTCCAGGGTGTGGGGAACCTCTTTCTTGTGGCTTTTGTCCTGCTTTTCTGTCATCACACCAGTGTTTCAGGCCTGGAAGGGAACATAACCTTCCATTTCACAATGGGGAAACGGAGGTACAGGTGAGCCAGCCTGGGGGCCACCGTTCCTGCAGCTGCCACTGGAGCCACCCGACCTCAGATGGCATTGGAGTGTACCACTCTGTCCCAATAAAGTGTTGCACACCGACCATGTACTTGGAGTGTCTGGCTGATGGATGGACTGATGGGGGAGGGGGGAACCCCTGTGTCACCAAATCCATTTTCCCTGTGCCCTGCCCCAGTTCCCAGGATCCACACTGGCACCTGTGGACTTCAGTTCCCAGGAGGCCTTTGGGAGCAGCAGTCCTGAAAGGTAAAGGGAAGTGCATGCTCTTTTCTCCAGGCCACCTGGTGCCCAGGTACGACCTGCCTGGGGCCCCGCCCTTCCCTCAGGCAGTGCCCTCCCCCTCGCTGGTCGCGAGAGACGGAGACAGAACTGCTCCCAGGGCCATGGAAGAGAGCCCGGAGTGGGAACCTGAGGCTTGGGGCTCCTCCGGCGGGCAGCTGGCACCCCGGGGCGCCCGGGCAGGTGGGGAGCGACTGGAACCCCTTGGGCTGGCGGAAGTCCCCGGGGAGGTGGAGGACGGAGGCCTGGCGACGCCTGGGCCTGGAAGGCAGAAGGGGGAGGGGTTTCGATTCCTGGGTTTCTGGAGGAGCAAAGAACGAAAGAACCGGAGGGTGGGAATCCTGGGGTCCTGGGGAGGAGAAGTCTAGAGGCTGGGACTCCAGTTATCTGAAAAGTGGGAGGGGCCAGGCTCCCAAGCTCCTGTATAAAAAGATAAAGGCAGTTGAAGAGTGGATTCCTGGGTCCTGGGATAGGAGGGGCCAAGAGGGAACACACTGGGTCTGAGGGAAGAGAGTCTGGGGGTCTGGACTCCTGAGTCTGAGGGGGCGGGGCTGGGGCCTGGACCCCTGGGTCCGAGAGGGAGGGGCTGGGGGCCTGGACTCCTGCGTCTGAGGGAGGAGGGGCCGGGGGCCTGGCCCCCTGGGTTCTCCCAGCCCCCTGCCCGCCTCCCCAGGCCCATCGCTGTCCTCGGTGCTGAATGAGCTCCCCAGTGCTGCCACCCTTCGGTACCGAGGCCCTGGGGTGCTGCCCTGGGGGGCGCTGGAAGAGGATGAGGATGGAGAGAGGAGCATCCAGGCCTCCATAGGAGTTACCCAAAGGGAGCTGCAGGAACCTGTCCCTTCCCGGGAACTGCCCTGGCCGATGCAGGCCCGACGGGCACACAGGTGGGGCCCACCTACCCCTTGAGCCTCTGTCTGCACCTGTCTCTGCCTCTCTCAGAGCGGCTTTGCTGCGCTCTCTCGCCCGCCTGTGTCTCTGCTTCTCCAACTCCGAGGAACCCTGTGTTTCGGGGGCTCGGGACTCACCTCTTTCCCTCCCAGGTTCCCGTTCTCGCTCTTCCTCCTCTTCCTCCAAGCCTCTGTCCACCTCTCACTATTCTCTCCGTGTCTGAAACCTGCGTTAGCTTTTCCTCTCTGCTTTATGTCCTCCTCCGCGCCCGCTCTTTCTACTCCTTCCTTCCCTCTCTCCCTCTCCAGGGTCGGCAGGGTCTGGGGAAAAGTCAAAATGCTGGGCCTCTGTTTTCAAAGTGACAACAGGAAAAGCTCAGAAACAGGTGCGAGGCCCTAACAAGAACGGGGATCATGTGGCTGCTCGGGTGGCCCTTGAAACTGACCCTTGTTTCTTCCTATAATTCTGACACCAGTTCCAATGCGTGTGAGGGGTTCCCCTCTATAGCCCCAGGCAACTCCCGGACGCCAGCTGGGTGTCCTACGATTCAAGTCACAGGAGAGTCCCACAAATCTGCACCCACAAATCTCACCTCATACACCTCATGCGCCCACCTCAGTCCCACAAATCTGCACCCAGTTCAGACACCAGTGACAAGTCCAGTTTGTCACCTGAGCGTCTTACCATCCAGCTATAGATGGGAGGTTCCCACACCCCCTCCTTGGCTTTAATTTGCCAGAGCGGCCCAGAGAAACATTACATCACACCTTTCTTTCCTTTTTCCCTGTTCCTTTTTTTTTTTTTTTTTTTTTTTTGCTTGTTTACTTTATGATGTCATTTGCCTACAGGAACCATGATGTAAAAACTCAGAGTTTTCCTACAGTGAGGGCCCAGGTGAACGCCCCCTGCGGGGAAAAGCTGTATTGCAGCCCCTCCGCCCCCGAAGCACCCCGAGAGCGCCGCCCCTGTCACCCCTTTCTCCTCTGGGCCTGGATCCCTGAAAGGCAGGGTTCCCCGGCGGTGGCTCTGGGATTGTGCAAACAGAACCCCTCAGTCTTGCTGTTCTGCCCGGCAGCCCGTGCGCAGCGTCACGCGTATTCCTTTTTATCGCTTTCGTATCCGTGCCAGGAACCCACCGCAATGTACATCTGGGAGGTTTCCATTGGAGGCCTTTCGTTTTCTGTCTCTGACTCTGTTTCCTCCCAGGCAGTGCCATGCCCGGGACCAAATGGCCCAGGGTTCGAGGTCCAGGGTGGCCAAGTGGGCCCTGCTGCTTCGGAGGTCCAAGGAGAAGATGCGAGAAGGCTTGCACACCTTGGAGCCCTGGGCGTGGACACTGAAGAAGATCGGAGGTCCGGTGGGGCGGGGGCCTCGGGATGGGCCTGGACTCCCGGGTCTGAGCGGGGAGGGGCTGGGGGGCCTGGACTCAGACAGGACCCGCGGCCTGTCTGCCGCCCCCTGCAGGCCAGTTTGGCGCGGGCACTGAGTCCTACTTCTTGCTGCTGCGCTTCCTGCTGCTTCTCAACGTGCTGGCTTCGGTGCTGAAGGCCTGCATGACGCTGCTGCCCACCTGGCTGCCGGACGGGGCTCCCCCGGGTCCCCCTACCCCGGACCCTTCCTCGCCCTGCGGCTCCTACAACCCCCACCCCCAGGGCCTGATTCCCTTCTCCTCCCAGCTCTTCAACCTGCTCTCAGGAGAGGTGAGTGCCTGCCCCCTCCCCCGCACGTCGCGGAGACCCTCTCTGAGCACCCCCCCACCACACCCGGACCCCAACTCCTGATGGCCCACCAGCCCCACGGCGACCTCCGCTGCGCCCGTCCCTCCCCAGGGTTATTTGGAATGGTCCCCTCTCTTCTACGGGTTCTACCCGCCGCGCCAGCACCTGGCCGTCTCCTACCTGTGTTCCACGTTCCTCGTCGGCCTCCTCTCCCTGCTGCTCATCCTGCGCCGGTGAGCGACGCGCCGCACACGCAGACCCCGGCCCTGGGGCCGCAGTGGTAGTCAAGCCCACTCCCCAGGAGTCCTGAGTCTCGCTCTGTGATCCTTTTCTTTCTGTTTGAATTGAAACCCGTGTTTCAAATGCTTCATAAGTGCTTAGGGCCGGGGATAAAGGTGGGAAGTTTCCCCTACTTGTGGCTGGGGGATAGGTATGCTATAAACAAGCAAGCGAATTAATTGCGGCTTTTCTGGAAGGGAAAAGTGCCAAATAGGAAACATGTAGCGGTCCTTCCTTCCTTCCTTCCTTCCTTCCTTCCTTCCTTCCTTCCTTCCTTCCTTCCTTCCTTCCTTCCTTCATGCAGCAGATATTTATTGAGCAGCGGCTGTGTGCTGAGCATTGTTGTAGGCAGTTGGCCAAACAGTGGAACAAACAAACAAAAAGCGAACAGATCATGTGTCCTTGTGGAGCTGACACCTTAGCCAGAAGACAGGTGACAAGAAGAAAGACAGGAAACAGTCCATTACACGGCGTGTTAGAGAACAAGGTTGTTGCTACAAACTCAGGTGGAAGATGTGAGTTGCTTGGACCCGGATGGTGACAAGTAATGAACTTTGGATTTCTTTCTTTTCAAAAAATTTTTAATTTATTGACTTGAGAGAGAGAGAGAGGCATCAGTTTTTCATTGTACTTATTGATGCATTCATGGGTTGATGCTGTGTGTGCCCTGACCAGGGGTTGACCCCAATACCTTGGCGTATTGGGGTGATGCTCCAACCAACTGAGCAACCTGCCAGAGAAGGATTTCTTTCTTTTTCTTTTTTTTCCTACATTGTTTTTTCCCCAGCTGTTTTGCAATGTAACTGATATATAACATTGTATAAATTTAAGGTGTACCACTCATTGATTTGATACACTTACATATTGAAATATGATTATCTTACTGGTGCTTTGATACACTCATAAGATTCCTCCATCACGTCACATAATTGCCCTTTATTTATGGTGGGAACACTTAAGATCCCTTCTTTCAGCAAGTTGCAAGTATACAATACAGTATTTTTAACTATACCAGCATGCTGTACATTAGATCCCCAGAACTTACTCATCTTACAACTGCACCTTTGTGCCCTTTGACTGACATCTCTCCATTCCGCCCCCCCCCCACACCCCCGGCCCCTAGTAACAGGTTGTTTCTGTATCCTCGCTATTACAAATAATGTGGCGATGAACATAGGGCTGCAGCTATTTCTTGAAGACAATTTTGATTCGTTTGGCTATATACCCAGAAGTGGGATTGCTAAATCATACAGAAGCTCTGTTTTTAATTTTTGGAGAAATCTCCATCCTGTTTTCCACAGTGGCTTTAACAATTTACAGCCCCACCAACAGTGGACAAGGGTTTCCTTTTCCCCACCTCTTCGCCAACATATAATGTCTTGTCTTGTTGATAACCATTCTGACAAGTGGATGTGATATCTCAGTGTGATTTTGATTTGTATTTCCTTACGAGTGATTAGTGATGTTGGGCACCTTTTCATGTGCCTGTTGGCCATTTGTATGTTTTAGGGGGAAATGTTTATTTTTATCATTTTGCTATTGAGTTGTGCATATTTTGGATATTACCAGGTATACGATTTGCAAATATTTTCTCTCATTCTGCAGGCTGCCTTTTCATTGCGTTGATGGTTTCTTTTGCGGTGCCAAAGCTGTTTAGTTTAGTCTCACTTATTACTTTTTGCTTTGGTGGCCTATGCTTTTGGTGTCATGTCCACAAAATTGTCACCAAGACCAATGTTAGGGAGCCTATCCTCCTGTGTTTTCTTCTAGGAATTTTCTAGTTTCAGGTCTTATGTTTAAGGGTGTATCATCCATTGATAGTTAATTTTGATGAGGGGTGTAAGATAAGGGTTCAGTTTCATTCTTCTGCACGTGGTTATCCAGCCTCCCACCACCATTCGTTGAAGAGACTCTCCTGTCCCCATTGAGTATGTGGGCTCCCTTGGCAAATATTAGTTGACTATGTTTTATAAAATCACACACCTCCAGAAAAATGCACAAACCGAAAGGAAGAGCTTGGTATGTTCCCACCCATATCAAGGAATTGAGCATGTGCAGCCTGTGGCAGCCTCTTCAAGACCCCCTTTAAGCTACCACAGTCCCCTCACAGTCTAGTAGGGGAGAAAAACTGCGAGAGAGGCCGTTAAATAAACAGCAAATCCACCCTTTCGGTTTGGGAGCAGTACTACGTAGAAAACAAGCGGGATGGTATGATAGAGGAGGGATCAGTTCTTTTTCTTTCTGATTAAATTAAAAAAAAAAAAAGACCAGGTAGGAAATACCATGATCTTTGCGGGCCACGTGGTCTTTGTCTCAACCGGAAGGCGGCGGTTGCAGGGTGGAAACAGCTACAGACAGCGTGCAAATGGGTGCCTGTGACTGTGTTCCGATAAAACTTGAGAAAAACAGGATTTTGTCCTGGGGCGGCCGCTCGCCACGCCCTGTGATAAGGAATAGTGGCTGGGGGCCCTCGTGAGACGGCATGGTTAGTAAAGGGCTCTCTGAGGAGGTGACCTGCAGGTGGAGACCGGAAGGATGAGAAGGAGCCCGCCGGTCAGGAGAACAGGAGAGCTGCAGGCATTCTAAGCCAAGGAAACCGTGAGCGCAGAGGTCCTCTGGCGGCAAGAGGTTTGGGGTGATCTGGGGCTGGGAGGAGGTGGAGGAGGAGCAGGACCTGAGCTCGGAGGCATAGGTGGGGTCCAAGGCAGGTGGGCCCCGGTTCCCAATGCTATGAAGGAGCCTAGAGTTCACGAACGAGGAGAAGCAGGGAATCCTATCTGATCTGCCTAAAAAGAAGGTTCCCGGGCTCGGGAACCGAGAGCGGACCCTCAGAGGGCACATGGAAGGGGAGGAGGTGTAACCTTGGCCGGGCGTCCACGCCAGTGACGATGCGGGCTTGCACCAGGGCGGTGAGGCTGGGTACGGAGCTGCTCTGCCCAGCTCTCTGTTTCTTTCCTTTCCTCCGGTCTTCTGACCCTCTCCCCAGGTCTTCGCCCCGCTCTCCACAGTTTCTTTACCCTCTTCCACTTCTCTGAGTCTGTCTTTCTCCCCCACCTGCTTCTCTGGGCGTCTGTCCCCTCTTCTGAGTCTCTCTGACTCCCTCATCCCAGACCTTTTCCTCCTTCTCATTGAGTCTTTTTATCCCTTTCTCTGAATCTTTGACCTCTGGGGTCTCAGTCCCCATCTATATCTCTGTCTCCCTATGGTCTTTGTCCTTCACGCTCTGAGTCCCTATCTCCTAGGTCTCTCTCTCTATCTTTCTCTCTCTCTCTTTCTCTCTGGTGTCTGATCTCCTCAGGGTCTCTCTCGGAATTTCTCTCTCGGACTGTGGTTCCGAGGACTCTCTGACTAGTTCTCTGCCAGGCGGCCCCTCCTCAAATGCCCAAGGCCTTAGGGTGTATTTTCCCTTTTTGTCCCCTCGGCTCTGGCTGTCCTGCCATGTCACGTCCCCCGGGTCTCCCCTCTCTTAGCTCCGTGTCCGGGCTGAAGCAGACGTTGTTGGCCGAGTCTGGGGTCCTGACCAGCTACAGCCACCGGGTGTTCTCTGCCTGGGACTTTGGCCTCTGCGGGGATGTCCATGTGCAGCTGCGCCAGCGCCTCATCCGATACGAGTTGCAGGTGCACTTAGGGGGTGGGGTCGACAACCGAATAGGGACCAGGGAGGGCAGAGCTGAGAGAAAGGGCAGGGCCTAGACCAAGGATGGGACTTCAGGGGAGATGCTGAATGGAGCTGTCGCCTTAACGAGGCAGGCCCTGGGGAATGTAATTGTTGGGAGAAGCCCGAAGGTCGAGCCTACGGTCAAAGGAAAAAGCCAGCATTAGGAAAGAGGCGGGGCCTGAAGTTCCTTGGTTCAAAGTTGAGAAGGGTGTGGGCAGAAAGGGTTTGACAAAGTAGAACTGGAACTTGTACCAGGGGGTGAGTACTGGGCGTGGCCTCAGGGGGTGTGGATGCTGGGCAGGGCCTTGGAGGCACTGGGCGAGGAGAACTAAATTGTCTCCAGGAGGGCCCTGGAGGGGCTGGGACAAAGATTATAGAAGTCCTCAGGAGGGCGCGGGCCTGCGCGGGCTGGGCCTGGGGAAATGGCACCCACGCGGATGTGTCTCCTGGGCTTAGGTAGAACTGGAGGAGGCAGAGGTGCGGCGCCGGGCTGCCATGCGGACCCTGGGCCAGCACGCCAGGGTGTGGCTGGTGCGGGTGCTGCTCAACCTGCTGGTGGTCGCGCTCCTGGGGGCAGCGTTCTACGGCGTCTACTGGGCCACCAGCTTCACCGTGAAGTTGCAGGTGTGGAGGGGCCTGAAGGAGGACGGTCTGGGGTTCCGGAACCTACATTGCCAAGGGTGGAGGGGACTGACTTCCATGATTCCTGGGATCTTAGAGAGGAGGGATGGCAGGGTTATGTTTGGAGCCCAGATGTGAGGGTGCTGAAGGAAGAGGCTGGGGCTCTCAGCATGGCTCCTCCAGAACCCCAGAGCCTCTTCTCTTGCCCCCCTCCCTCCCAGGAGTCGTCCCTTATCCAGCAGATGCCGCTGCTAAAGCTCGTGGTGGATTACCTTCCGTCCATCTTCATCTTCGGGGTCAACTTGGTGCTGCCGCCAGTGTTCAAGCTCATTGCCCCTCTGGAGGGCTACACCAGGAGCCGCCAGATCATTTTAATCCTGCTCAGGTTCCAGCCTCGGGGCGGGGCGAGGGGCTGGGGGTGATGGTGGGGCCAGTGGGTCGAGGGACGTTGGTGCCAGCCGAGAAGACACAGGAATGCCGGCGATGTGGGATCCAGCGAGACCTGGGTTCAGTCCTGGCTCTCTGCCACTGAGCATCGGTTTCTTCATCTCTGAAATGGGCAGATTTGTGAGCCCGTTCTGCCCAGGCGAGGCCCGGCACTCAGCCCCAGCTGATACCCCCCTTTTTTTTCTTTTTACCAGGGCCGTGTTTCTCCGCCTGGCCTCCCTGCTGGTCCTGCTGTTGTCTCTCTGGAGTCAGATCACTTGCGGGGGCAGTGCAGAGGCTCCGGCGTGCAAGGCCTGTGGCTACAATTACAAAGAGCTCCCGGTGAGGAGGACAGGGGAAGGGATGGCTGGGTCGTCGGTCAGACTCCTGGTTTGGGAGGAAGGAGAAGCTAGGGGTAGAAGACTCCCAAGAAAGTAACTCCTACGCTTGTGATTTGGAGACTCGGATGCTTGGGCCTCTGGGTGCCTAAGTCCTGAGGTCCTCCTCACCCCTTTCTCCCTTCCCCAGTGCTGGGAGACTCGGCTGGGGCAGGAAATGTACAAACTCCTGATTTTTGATCTGCTGACTGGCGTGGCCGTCTTGCTGCTCATCCAGTTCCCTCGGAAGTGAGAGCCCCGCCCCTTGCTGTGCCCCCGCCCCCTTGGGACAGGCCCCGCCCCACCGCCCAGTTCTCTTTATTTGCATTTCTAGTTCCGCCTCTCTATTCCCTTTCTTGGCCCTACTTTCGCAGGCCCCGCCCCCCGTACGGTAGGTAACTTCCGCGGGCCCTGCCTGGGACATACCCCCTCCAGGATGCTGACAGCTCCGCCCCTCAGATTAGGCTCGCTTCTGATTGGTAGGCAGGACGGTGGAGGCGGGGAAACCCCTGGCTGGCCTGCCGATGACTCTGTCCCGCCCCGCCCCTCAGGCTGCTCTGTGGTCTCTGTTCCGGGCCGTTGAGTCATGTGGGGACCCAGGAATTCGAGGTCCCCAGTGAGGTGCTGGGGCTCATCTACGCGCAGACAGTGGTCTGGGTGGGGAGCTTTTTCTGCCCTCTACTGCCTCTGCTCAACACCGCCAAACTCCTGCTGCTCTTCTATTTGAAAAAGGTGAGGGGTGGAGAGCACCCGTCTGGAGCTGGAGGTATTAAGGCCTGGGGGAGGGGAGACTGAGGGATGGGACTGAGTCCTAAGGGAGGACTGACTCCTGGATGTGGGAGAAGGAGGGGTTCAGGGCATCCCAATTTTTAAGTCTGAGGGAAGAGGGGACCCGACTCCTGGGGACTCCTGGATCTTGAGTGAGGAGGGGCGAGGGGCAGGACCCCTGAATGTGGAAACAGACAGACTAGTGTTCGGACGCTTGTGTCTCAAATACCCTTCTTCCTCCGCCAGCACGCCCTCTTCTCCATCTGCTCCCCGGCCTCCCGCACCTTTCGGGCCTCCATGGCGAATTTCTTTTTCCCCCTGGTCCTTCTCCTGGGTCTGGCCATCTCCGCCGTTCCCGTGCTTTGGAGCATCTTCCTGTAAGTGTGAGGGGCGCCTGCCTCTCTGTCCCTCACTCTGCCCGCATCCGCGATCCTGACTCTTGGCCATCCTTGAGCTCTGCGTGTCTCTGACTCCAGGATCCCGCCTTCTAAGATGTGTGGTCCATTCCGGGGGCAGTTGTCTATCTGGGCCCAGATTCCTGAGTCTATTTCCAGCCTCCCTGAGGGCACCCAGAACTTCCTCTTCTTCTTGGGGACCCAAGCTTTTGCTGTGCCCCTTCTGCTAATTTCCAGGTGAGGAAGCCCAGACCCTTGGGTTTTAGTTTGAATGTGCGTGATCTGGGGGGCCCCACTGCCTGTGTCCAAGAGAGGAGGGGGCCGGGGACCTAAACTCTTGGGTCTGAGGGAGGAGGGGGCTGAGGGCCTGGACTACTGGATCTGAAGGGGGTCGGTGGTCCAGACCCTTGGTTTCTAAGACCCATACATTGAAGATATGTATGGGTCCTAGATATGTATGGGTAAGAGCCTTTGGGGATTGGCTTTTTTTCCCTGTACGTTCTAGCATCTTGATGGTATATACCGTGGCCCTGGCTAACTCATATGGACGCCTCATCTCTGAGCTCAAAAAGCAGATAGAGACGGTGAGCCAGGCCGGATCCTTGGGAAGGGGTCCTGGGGAACATGGGAAAGGACACGGGAGAGAGAAGCTCTGTTTCACCGTCATGTCTTTCTACCCTTTACCTCAGGAGGCGCAGAATAAAGTCTTCCTGGCCCAGCGCGCTGTGGCGCTGAGCTCGGCCAACGGGGTTCTTTGACCTCCCTTGCCTGGCTCAGGGTGACGTCCCACGTTCAGACCCAGATCTGCTGCAAACCCTTTGTAAGCTTCGGTCACGTCATCTGTAAAATGGGGGAACTGCTCTTCCTTCCGGTCCCGGGATTCCGAAATTTCCAGGGCTGTGGACCCCTCTGACTGTTCAGTGAACCTCATTCTTGAATCAATAAACACTGCGGAATCAGCTGAGCGCTCTCTGAAACTTGCGGGCTGAAGCAGGGGGGAAGGCTTCAGTGGGACACAAGCCAATCAAATGTATTGGTCTTGAGATGATTTGTTGGGCGTTCCAGCCAATCAGAGGTCGCGTCGTATAAGCGTCCAAAGTGGGGACACTTGTAATTCGCTCAGAATGTGGATGTGGTCGCTAGGCAACACCCGGCCGATTCGAGGTGTTGGGAGGTGGGGGCGTGTCAATTAACCCAAGGCCAATCCGTGGCCGAGGCAGAAACAACAAGGAGGGGCATACTCTTGCCAATCGTAAGTGCTAGAAGGCGGGTCTGCCAGTCTGTGGACATCTACGGCGCCATGAACATCTTGCCCAAGAAAAGCTGGCACGTCCGGAACAAGGACAATGTCGCCCGCGTGCGGCGTGACGAGGCTCAGGCCCGGGAGGAGGAGAAAGAGCGTGAGCGGAGGGTACTGCTCGCTCAGCAAGAGGTACACTTCGAGGGCGGCCGGGCGGGGCTCCGTTGTCTAGCGCGCAGGCGCCCGGGGAGGGACCGGAAGTGGGGGCGGTGCGGAGGTGCGGTAAATCCGGCGCCAGCATATGGAACTGAATTCAGGCTTCCGCGGAGCCTGCCTCCTCGTTTTCCAAGCTAATGCTCTTTGCGACGCCAGAGCGGTGCCTGGCACAGAATAGGAGCTTATGAATAAAGGAACCCCTGGGTAGTTTAAGGGAACTCGGACCACTGCTTAGTTTGCTTGCCCAGTGTTTTTATTGAGTGCCTACTGGATGCTTGCCCTGCGCAGAATGCTTGACTCGCGACATCCCTCCAGCGCCGTTCGCTGTTAGAGGGGCGCTGTCAGTCAACCGCATGGTGTAGAGGAGAGGTGGCTTCAGAGAGGAAGCCCCGGCGGAGGGGGAAAAGTCAGTGCCGCTCCATGGGCGAGCCCTCTGCACTGTACGGTCCACACAGACACCAGAGACTGTTTATATCTCCTTCACCTCTTTGGTTTACACCTGGCTGTCAGTTAATCGGACCCTCAGCACTGGCTCGGAGTTAGTCTGGGCCTTTTAAATTCACTTTTCAGCAGAGAATGAAAATCGATTAGGATACTGACTTGGAGCCCTGCATGGAAGTCAGATCGCCTGTTCTAATACACGTTTTGGCTGCCTTCATATGCATAGTTGTCTTTATTATGTTACCGAGAATGGGCATCTTACACGCCCAGGAAGCACCCCGTTCCCTCACCCTCTCCCCAGGATGGGTCGGGTGCCTCTCCTGGGGCCCCAGCACCGTGGACTTCGATTCTCTGTGGCCAGCACCAGACTCATGGTTCCTCGGATCACATCTAGGTTCTGCATGTTCCACCTGTAACGTTTTCCCCTCAGGCCCGCACAGAATTCCTACGGAATAAAGCCAGGCACCGGAACTCACTGCCTGAGCGTGGAGTAGCAGACCCAGGAACCCCGAGTGCTGGCCCTGTGGACCTGTTTCGGGAGCAGCTGGAGGAAGGAAGAGGGGTGACCAGAAGCAACAAAGAGTACGAGGAGGAAAAGCGGCAGGAGAAAGTAAGCAGGCCTCCCTACTTCTTCAGTCATGGAGGGAGCTAGGAGGAGGGGGCATTCTGCCCACAGGTGTGACTAGCAGGAGCATGGCAACAGGCGGGGACTGAGTGAGGTAACAGACTGCGAAGAGAACGGACCACCACTTAGGAAGTGCTGGTTATAGCCACCCCCACCCACGGGGGCTTGGAAGGGGAGGCTGCAGGTAGACCCCTCAGGTCTTCAGCCTGATGTCAGGGCTCTGGGGAAGGGGTTTGGGAAGAGTGAAGGAGCTTTGTAAATGAAATCAGATCCTGTCGCGCACCAGCTCTCAGGGATGAACTTGCCTCAGCTGCTCTCCCCGCGCCCCCTCCCCCCCGCCCCTCGTCTTACTTTTTCCAGATTTAAAAAAAAAGTTGTGTTTATTTTTGGAGAGGAAGGGAGAGAGACACATCAATGTGCGCTTGCCTATTGCATGCCCCCTACTGAGGACCTGGCCCACAACCCAGGCACAGGCCCTCACTGGGAATTGAACCGGCAACCCTTTGTTTCACAGGCCGGCACTCAGTCCACTGAGCCACACCAGCCAGGGCTCCAGATTTTTATTCCCCCAGAGATGCCCACCTTTGAACCCTAAAGCAGCTCCACCCCATGCTCCCTTCCCTGTGCTTTCCGTGACGGCCTGCCATTGCGCCCCAGTGCAGGAGCCCCACCTCTGTTGGTCCCCTGTGTCCCCAGTGGCTGGCAGAGTTGGCTTATGCCAGGCCCTCAGCGCTTAATGGCCAAATCACTGGTTCTGCCTTCCCAGCTGTGGGTGTCCCCACTGTCCTATCCAGGGCTCCCTGAGAGGAGACACACTTGACAGTCTTCCGTTTCCTGTATTCCTCCTCAGGAGAGGCAGGAGAAAGCTCTGGGTATCCTGACATACTTGGGCCAGAGTGCAGCAGAAGCCCAGACCCAGCCCCCTTGGTACCAGGTGCCCCCGAAACGAGGGGCACCCCCACCTGGCCCAGGACCAGATGTGAAGGTCAAGAACCGTCTGGACCCTCTGCTGGAGATGCAGAAGCATTTGGGGAAGAAGAGGCGGCACAGTGGTGACAACAGCGGCCACAGCAAAAAGGAAAAGGCGGGGTCCGAGAAACAGCGGCCCCAAGAGTAAGCAGGAATCTCGGGTGGCAGCAGGGCACTAGGACGGGGCTGGCTGGGCAGGCACGGTTCGCAGCAATCCTGGGGGCCTGACGCCCTTTTAGGGGCTCAGCAAGGTCAAGCCGGCTTTCACAGCAGCACCATTCAGCTTTCCACCCTCGTTCTCAAGTGTGCAGCTGGGGTCCCCGGAAGCTGCTGCTGTGGGAAGGTGCCACAGCTCTGATGGGTACTGCAACATAGATGTGTCTTTAAGGTTTGTCCTCATTTCTAATATGCTGAATGTTAACATAAAACCTATGGACACTGAAGCTCTGCAGGGTCCTGATTTTTAAGAGACCTGAATTTAAGAACCATGGGGTTAGAGCAAAAACAGGTCTGTGTCACTAGAATTGCAGACTAAGCAGAGAGGGGGAGTCCCAACCAGCCTCCTTCTACAGAGAGGGAGACAGAGGCCCAGAGAGGGCCAGCCCTTGCTCAGCGTCACACAGCTGATTAACAACAGGCTTTCTTGACCTGAAGCAGCACCTGACTGTGAAGATGAGGGAGGACAGAGCACCACACAAGGGGAGGCCCACATCCTTGCCCCTGGCATGACACCCACTTCCCAGTCGCAGGGCCTTCATGTGCCAAGCCCAGGAACATGTCAGTTGCAGGCAGGGGTGCCAGTGGCAGCTGTCTTGGGAGAGGCCGGGGGCCTCCCAGGGCTGCCCATGTCCTAACCTGACTCTTTCCCCCCAGATCGCCGTCCCTGGACCAGCTTCGAGCTGAACGTCTTCGGCGGGAAGCTGCCGAGAGGGCACGGGCAGAGGCCCTCCTGGCTCAGGTCCGGGGCGGGGCACCCCAGGAGCAGCAGCCAGAAGAAGAGGCGGACGATCGGCGGAGGCGGTACAACTCTCAGTTCAACCCCCAGCTAGCTCGGCGACCCCGCTGGCAGGACCCCCCTCTCGCTCACTGACTCCTGAGGGGTACAGGAGAGGCTGCTGCCGCCAGCCGTCATATAAAACTATTTATTCATAAATATTTTCCAAAATGAAAATAGGTTTACCAAAAAATGTCCCTCACTGGGGAGGGGAGGAGGGGGCAGCCCTCACCCCCAGGCCCCCAGGCCGGGGCTGAGAGGAAGAGAACCTCTGGGCCCCCTTCTTGCTTCCTGGGGGAGGGGGCTGCCCCGTAGCCTGGGGCCTCCCCTGTCTTCCAGGGCAGGGCCCTCACCTGGGCAGGGGATCAGCATGCGGGGGGGAGAGGGAGGATGGAGGGAGGGGCTGGTGTCACTGGAGGTCCCGGTCCTCCAGGTATCGGTACTCAAAGGTGAAGCCTTCCTTCTTCCGCTGGCCCCACTTCTCGTAGTCAAAGTAGATGTAGGTGCCCTGGCCGGGGGAGAAGGCGGTCAGTGAGTGGACGAGGAGGTGGTCGGGGAGCTGGGCCAAACCGACAAATGGGACCGTTCTCGGGGCCACGGATGTGCCAAGCACCAGGCCCTGCACGCGTGCGCTGTCTCGCTCCGCCCTGGCCACTCTTCTCAGGTAGGAAAAATTATCACACCCGCTTTAGAGGAAACGGAGGAAGGCACAGTGGTCACGTGCCAGAGCTGGGCCTCGGCCCGGGCATGTCTGCGAAGTCTCTTGCTTCTCAGGATGGCTGTGGCTTTGAGCAGGTGATGCGTGTCCTAGCACTGCGTCTTCACAAACCCCTTGAGGCCATTAGCTCTCTAGAGATGGAACAGGCTGTCTATGGGACAGACAGTTTATGGGTGACAGGGGTGACGTGGGACTTCCTGAAGGAGTGATGCCTGGAAATACACTAACTTGGCTGATTACTTTGGACCCAACCAGGAGGGGATAGGAAGTCCTTAGTGTCAGAGAAGGCACAGTGGGAATGGGGCTGGGTTCTGAACGGCTGAAATGCTTCAAAGAACCTGTAAGAACCGAGGGGAGGGGACTGAGTTCTCTGAGGACAAGGACCTTGTTTATTACTTGCATCACGCAAATATTTGGTGTAAAAGGCATCGTGGGACCAACTAAAAGTACTCAAACAAAACACAGTATGTCCATGCCACAGCAGCAGGCACCGCTAGGCACGTGCCACGTGATTAACTCGTTTAATCCTCACAGCTGCGTTACGGTGGGTCCTGTCACCCCATTTTTACAGAAACTGAAACAGGTTCAAGTGACTTGCTAAGGTCACCCAGCTACAGGTGGGTTCAGACCCAGGCAGTCTCCCCTCTAGAGTGTTCTGCAAGAAGTTCCAATCAATTGACTGGAATGGGGAAGGTCATTTTAAAAAGAACAGCTTCCCCAATCCTATTTGCTGAGTGCTGGGGAGATGCAGGAAAGAGACCATCAAGGCCTCTGTGCAGTGTGGTCTTGGGTGGGAGACACCACACACCCTTCTGTGCCAGTGGAGGCGCCTCCAAGGAAGGGGCATTTAGGGTAGGGTAGGGCCCACAGGACGACTAGGAGTCAGCCCAGTGAAGAATGACGGACAGACCCCAGGCTGAGCTGGCTGAAGGGAGGGGCGAAGGGAGAGGGCCCAGGAGGGGTGTGAGGGGCCCAGGGCAGGGCCTCACCTGCTCGAACTCGTCGGTGATGGTCTTGGGCTCCTCGTGTCTCTGGAACCACATCATGTACTTGGTGTGGAATCGCCACGACTGTTTCTTCAGGGCCTTAGCTGCCAGGTACTGTGCCTTAGTGCCCTGGGAGAGAAAAGATGGAGCAGGGGATCAGGGGGCCCCCCAAACTGGGAGGGGTGAGGGGGACGGGCAGGGCTTCGGGGCTGACCCCAGGCCCCGCCACAGACTGAGGGTGGGTGGGACCCTCCAACTGGAGCTGGGCAGGGGCACAGAACGTACCAGTGCTGGTCAGAAGGAAAATGAGACAGGAGGTGGGAAGTGCTTCCAGAGAAGCTTTGAGAAAGAAGAGAAACTAATGCATGAGGAGTGCTCAGAGGAGGCAGCTTAGAAGCTCCCCAGGGTGGGATGAAGGCAGAGGTCCTTCTTGCTGCCCTGGGATCACACAGAGGCTGCCTGCTGTGTCAGTGAGCAGTTGGCAGGGACAGCTGAACTGGGGACAGACTGCAAGTGGGGCAACCTTGTGCCCTCAGCCGTTCTCCCCTGTGCTGAAGTGGGGACAGGGACTGGTTTGGTTTGTGGGGCCCAGGACTGGGGGATGGGGAGGGGTGCGGTCCCGGCGGCCGCAGTGGGGCACCCACCTCACCCCTCCAGCCCGACGGGGGACGGCGGCGGTGGCGGCGAAGGCGGGGGGCCCGAGGCTGCCCCGGGGGCCCTGCTGTACCTCCAGATAGTAGAAGATGAAGAAGAGCGTCTCGGTGGACAGGCGCTGGTAGAATTCCACGGTGTCCGAGTGCGGGGGTGGCATCTGGTGGTGGTAGGGGGGCGTCGGGCAGGGGTTCCGGGGGAGGTACTGTCTGTGAGGGATGGGACACGTCAGTGCCAGTGCCTGCTGCTTGTTCCAACTGCTTGTTTCAAGGGTGGATCTGACCTCAGGGACCCTGCCACCCCACCGCTCATGGGTCAGCAGGAGCATCTCAGTCATCTGGTCACCCCGGCATTGCCCTCCTCAGCCCCCACCATTGCCAAGAGCCCCAAGTCAGGTACCCCGCAAGCTTTATTTAATCTCAAGACTGAGGAACCAGATCCCCATGGCCCCTCACCTGATCCGCTCCGAGTCAGAGGGGTGGGGCATGTGGTGCCAGGCAGCCTCCTCCATCGCCTGCTGGTAGAGCTGCTCCTTGGTGAGAGGCACAGGCCCCAAGGGACACACCCCCAGGGACAGCGGTATGTTCACCTCTGACAGCTGTAGGGGCGGCTGGGCTGAGGCTGGAGGTGCTGCTGTGCTGCTCAGGATGATGTCTGTGGGGACAGGCAGGGCCGAGCCATTGGGTGAGGCTGGGTGGGGCGCCTTCCTCTTGCTCGCTGGGCCGCCCCACCGTGCCTGGACCCTCACCTCGCTCAGTCAGGTGCAGCGTTGGCACAGGGTCCTCGATGGCGGAGCTGAGGGCTGCCCGCTCTGCCATGGACTTCAGCGAGCTCAGGGGCTCAGGAGCCTGGGGGGAAACAGGTGCCTCAGGCTGCAGGGCAGAGGGCCGGTGCAGGTACTCAGAGGCCCCGGCATCCTCGCCCGCTCTGGCTGAAGGCAGCAAAGCCAAGGCTGTTGGTGAGAGTGTTCACCATGGCCCCCGAACGGGGGGGACCTGGACGTGGAAGCATCCACCAGCAGGGTGCCGTGCCCCTCACCGACATCACGGACACTACACCGGGCAACACGCTGCCGAGGACAGATCGCCTGCAGCATGTGCACGGGCCACACCGCTCCTGCCACAGCTCGCGGGAGCGCACTTCTCCCTCCTGCATCTCCCTTGGGGGAACCTCCGTCCCACCATGCCCCACAGGCTGGCCTGTCCTCGCTGGCCAAGAACTTCACAGCACCCTCCCTCCATCCTGTTCTCCCGGGGCCCACGGGGACCTCTCTACCGGTGTTTTTGTCCTTTCTTCACTTGGACTTTCTGCAGGTTCCTGCCCCCCAATCCTTTCCTCTGGGGAACCGCACAGCGGTTGACCCTGCTCCAGGGACAGAACACACACACACACATACATGTCCTGTCCTCTGCTCCTCTCAGAGGTGCGTGCTCACTCTGGGTCCGAAGCTTCCCAGACCTCTGAGGACCACGAAGCCTCCCCTGCAGTGTCACACATGATGGCTGCCATGCTCCCCATAAAGGGAGGACACAGGGCCACGCGAGCTGGGACCCAGACAGTCGGGCACTCAGGCTGCCCCGGGGAAAGTGGGTTTATCATGCAGGCTCCAGGAAGTCAGCCACATGTCCTGCTGATGCTATTTCAGACCCTGGCAATTAGGACCCCTGCCCTCCACAGCGACACCCCACCCCCCAGCCCAGCAGCCCTCCTGCAGAGTGGACGGCCCTTCTGTCCTCTCTCTGCTGAACCCCACCCAGCCTTGTAACGACCATTCCGACATGAGCCCACCTAGAACCGCAGCACAGACTCCTACTTCTTTCTCCGTCAGCCTTTCTCGCCCCTGGGACCCCCGACCTGACCTGCCCCGTCCTGGTCCCAGCTTAGGCACACCCCCCAGAGACCTTGCATGGCTCCGCCCACAGGTTAAGTCAGGTCCACAGCACCCTCGGCCCTGCCGGGACACTCCCTGTTTGGCAGGCTCTGCTCTGTGCACAGAAGGCAGGAACTGGGTGCATTCAACTTAGCAAACTGGGGCCCACAGCAGACATCACCAAGCGTTTTCTCAACTTAGATGACTTCCCCAAAGGAACAGGAGGGCAGTAAGCCAGCAGGGACAGAACACACAGGCTCTGCACCCACCTTGATCTCCGGGGCAGCACTGAACTGGGGGGGTCCGTTGAGCAGGGTGCCAGCTGCCTTGGCATCGCTGAAGCTGGGCGTTGGGGAACTGGGAGGGTTCACAGGAAGTGGCACCAGGAGGCTGGGTCCCCCAGCATTGTTCCCTGAGCCTGGGGCCACGCCCCCAGTGCCCGCTGGGGCAGCTGCGCTGGGTTCCTTCCTGGAGAGGGGACGAGGGGAAGGGGCTCAGAGGAGTGTCCCCAAAGGGGAGATGGACAGGTAGCGCGACAAGGCAAAGGAGTCAAAATAGGGGAAAGGCCAGAGGACAGGACCCACAAGGAGCGGGCTGAAGGACACAGGTGGGAGGGGAGGGCTCTTTGGGCAAAAGGAGAGCTGTGAGGTGGGAACGAGGACTCAGGGTGCTCCAAGGAGACCAAATGGGTGGAAATCACTGGGAAACAAGCTGGCCTTCTGAAACGGTCCACAGAAGAGGGTGCGGGAGCAGGTGTTCCAACCACAAACTAGGATGCCTTGGGCAAATGCCCACTTTGGGAGCCCACCCAGACCCCAGGGCTGAAGTGCCAGGGAGCAGGCCTTCCCTGGGTCCCAACCAGGAAGGTAAGCTCTCTCATGAGGCATCGTTCTGGGCACCGAGGACCTAGTGGTATGGCCTGACCTGAGACCTGGATGGCGGTTGGGAATGGGAAGGGGGACTTTGGGGTCTTTCACTTTGAAAAGCTGACATGATATCCCTCATGGAGTCAGGTGGCCCTGGGGCAGGGAACAGAAAATCGGGGTGGGGGCCAAACAAGAGCTCCTCTAGGATCTAAAGTGGAAGCCAGTGCCCAAGGGGTGTGCGCGGCTCTGATGACATTCCCCACTAGACAAGGGATGCTTTAGAACATTCCAAAGGGCAAAGGTGGGGGACATAGCTCATGGCAGAGTCCCAACAGGCAAGGGCAGGGCCTGTGTCCTCACAGTGGGTGACACTGGGGGTACCCCGTGCCTATTTGTGCCAGGCGCTGCCTGCTCCCCAACCCTGCTGGAGGCCGGACACTCACGAGGTACTGGGGGGTGGGTTGTGGGGGCCAGACGGGGGGCCCAGAGCCTGGCTGCTGGCATTGCTGCCCCCACTGCTGCCGAGAGCCACCTCTGCTGGGCTGTCAGCCACGACCGAGCTGTAACCTGGGGGAAGGAAAGGGGGTGAAAAGGGGTCCCAAGCAGTGACCCCAGGACCCCTGCCCCCAGAAGCCCCACTTACTGGTGGCACCGTTCTGCTTGCCAGCACCGGCACCTCCACTGCTATTACTGCTGCTGCTGCCTCCGCTGCCTCCGCCACCAGGCTGGACGCTGGGGGGCCGGGGCTGGTTGGCGCTGGGCCCACTGGAGGCCGGTGGGGCCACAGCCTGGGCATAGGGGGCAGGGGTGCCCGAGTTGTGGCCAGGGGCTGGGCTGGCCTTGGGGCCCAGGGCACTTGGGGGTGCTGCTGGGGTGGGGGCCCCATTATTGCCAGGGGCGGTGCTCAGGGCAGAGGCGGCAGGCGAGGGGCCAGACGAGTAGCTGGGCGGCACAGCTGGGGACTGAGGGTGCTGGCTGCTGTGGATGGGCTTGGAGCCGTTTTTGGCAGGAGACTGGGTGGGAGAGAGAAGAGGGTCAAGACCTGCCGAGTCTCCCGCACACCCTTCCTGGGGACCCAGGTGACCTCCCCTCATGGCTTCAACCACCCCCTTTCATGCTTCGAACACTCATGCACTTCCAGCCCAACCCAGCGTCCCACATCCCACCTGCACATCGCCCCCGAGTATCCCTTAGCCACAGGGATCTGACACACAGCTGGGGTGTTAGTAGGAGAACCCCTCTGATGGTGACAGGGACATAGTGGGAGACACCTAAATAGCCTCCGTACAAGATCAGAGGGAACCAGCCAAGAGTCCAAGAGAAGGAAAAAAAGTGGGACACCGGGCAGTAATTCTGACCACCACTGGACGGGTCACTAAAGCACCTCGCAGGGTGTTAATGAGGAGCCCAGGAAGCAGGCGGTCATGTGACCACAGCACCCGGGCAGCTCCTGGGCACCTTGCTGGCATCCCAACGCCCCATGGGCATCTCGTGCTCTCCGCACGCCAAGCAGGATGCGTGGCCAACTCCTTCCTGGCCCCTTGCCTGCTCGCTGGGCCTCACACCAGACTCCCCACGGCCCTCCCCAGGAGCCCTGGGACCGGCCCTCCCACCAGCCCACAGAGGGGCTGCAGGCTTGCTGGGCTCCTGCTTAAAGACACCACCTTGAGCATCATGTCCTAAGGTGTCTCCCATCCTGGGAGGTGCTAACTCACAAGGCTCTCTAGGGAAGAAAAGGAATTCTGAGGCACGTCCCCTCTGGAAAACTCAGGAGGTCCATCACAGCACAGCCAAGGCCCAGAGCCTCCCGAAGAAAAGACACCTGCCTGACTTTTGACCTACCACGCCGCAGGCCGGTGTGGCCCTTTCAGAGTGGATGCACAGGGTCCTGGCCCTGAGCCAGCCACCCCAAGCCCTGCGCTCACAGCCAGCCCCACACACCTGGCCGGGCTCACCTCATGATGCTTCCGGTTTTCAATCATGACTTGACGTGTTAACTGCCACTACCTCAACTCAGGAAACGTCCACCTCCCCCCGCTGGGCAAGCTCAAGTCTTTCTCTAACACCAGGGCAGCTTCTGACTACCTAGGCTGGGGCAGGGGCAGGGGACCACCCCTGGACCACAGCACTTATTTGCCTGCCTCTCAGGCCTCCCTCGGTGGGGAGAGTGGCGGACCTTCTCACCCCTCTCTTCGAAGCTCCATACCATGGCTGCACTCAGGCCTCAGGGCGCCTTTGGGAACCAAACAATGAGCAAGTGACGTGCCAATGGAACCCACCTGGCTAACTTCACTATCCGTTGAGCGTCCCCTCTTCTTGTCGTCTTCAGAGTTTTCCTGAGGTGAGAGAGGCACTCTCAGAAACCTGTGTGACCTCTTGGGTCCCGACAGACACCAATCCCTGGCCCCCCCAGGGGCCTGTACCCAGGTGATGGACTATCTGGCCTCAGTGTATTCAAGTACTTATGACCTCCATGTCACTGGGGAATCTCGCTGGGAACCGAAGCCCTGTTCCCCAGGGTCCTTGTCCTCTGGGCACCAGCCTGCCAGCATCCAACCCTGACCCCGGCCCAGCCCCCCACCTGCACAGCCAGGACCCACGTGTGGCCCCGTGCACACCATCAGCCCTCTATGGCCTTTAGGGCCCAGGCCCTGGACGCTGCGGCCCTGCTTCCTTGATCACCCTCCTGCAGGCCGTTTCTGGGAACCTGGCCTCACCGTGGTGCAGTTGGCCGGGCTCGGTGGGATGGGAGAGCTGGAGGTGGTGGAGGTGGGTGTGCTGCTCGACTGGTTGAAGATCTCATCCTCCATGTGACTGTGGCTGGGGGGGGAGGTGGCGACCAGCGCCTGTGCTGTGGGGCAGGGCAGGGCGTGCTGAGCTGGCTGGGACGCCCTCCTGCCCGGCCCCGACCACCCATGCACAGAGGTCACCCCGGGCCTCACGAATGTCCTCGAGGTCCAGGTCGTCGTAGAGGAACTCGTTCTCCTCGAAGTCTGGGTCCTGGGAGGAGTCGACGTAGTACTCGACGTCGTCCTTGATCTTCCGGATGGCATCCACCAGGATGGAGTCGTTGTCCAGCATGCGCAGGATGGTCTCCAGCATGCGCACATGGTAGCGGTGCTTCTCGATGTGCCGCTTCAGGCCCTCAATCCGGTCCTGCTTCTGCTGGCGAGCCCAGGGCCAGGCTCAGGGGCTGCCCGACCCTCCTGCCCCACAGAACCCGTCCTCAGTCCCCGACCCCTGTGGAGACCAGAGGCTCCACTCAGGCCCCTCCCAGTGCGGAAAGTGTGGAATCTGCCCTCCCCGAAGCCTCAGGGATCCCACGGCTGCCCCCAGCCACCCCGGCAAACCTTGAAGGGGCCTGGGAATCCCTGCGCCTCCCAACCTAGCCCCTGATGGCCCAGACCTCCCACCCCTGCTAAGCCTCCACCAGCGCTGACCACCTTCTGGGATACAGAAACACCAGCCCCTGCCTGGCTCCGGCAGTAGTGATGGTGACCCCCACTCAAGGGAGCTTGTGGTTTATAATCGCTCCAGCGCTTACTGTCACCACGGCCCCCCAGCTGCATGGCCCTGAAGAGCCCAGACTCTAAGCCTGGCTGCTAGGCACTCCAGATACCTACTCTTCCCAAGGCCCCAGTTCCCTTTAGAATTTGACATCTTAGTCCCAGTTCTAACCCCCTCTGCATGGACCTACTTATTTTACAGCCACACGTCACCTAACACAAGGATACGTTCTAAGAAATGCATCATTAGGTGATTTTGTTGTTGTATGGACACCTAGATGGTCTAACCTACTGCACACCTAGGCTGCCCGGTACAGCCTAGTGCTCCTGGACTACCCGCCAATACAGCATGTTACTGTACTGAGTACTGCAGGCACTGGTAACATCACGTAAGTATGTTATCTACACAGAAAAAGCACAGGATGAATACAGTGCAAAGGATCAAGTGTGCACGTGTACACATTGGAGGAGCAGCGGGGAGGGCTGTGGCTGGAGGTGAGCAGACATCAGGAGGGGAGGAGGAAGGGAGAGACGAGAGAGAAGGGGAAAGGGAAAGGGAGAGGAGAGGTCAAGACACCCAGAGAAGTAAAGCTGGAGATGAGCACCAATGAAGCGGGAGGTGTGAGGGGGCAGGGGAGGGGGAGAGGAGCTGGACTGCTGGGAAAGAGGCCAGGGGTGTGAGTGTGCGCAGGCACAGGCGTGGCGCGGGCTTCTGGGCGCCCTTGCTCCCCAGCCCTGACAGGCACAGGACGAGGGACAGCATCCCAGCTCATGCAGTAAATTCGCCATCGTGGTCAGGTCCAGCCTTTCAACGTCATAAGCAAACCTTTTTAACCCAAGACAATCTCACGGGACCACCAACACGTACACAAGTCTGTCGCTGCATGCGACACTGTTACCCAGCACAGGACGCTGTCTCCCCTCCCAGCCCGACTGCCAAACTGCTCAGGCTCGGACGCCCATTTCTGGCGCGCTTCCCTCTCCTCGGCCATCCCTCTGCCCACTGGCTTCCCAAGGACCCAGCTCTGTCCCTGTGTTTCCCGTGCCAACAAGTGCACGGTTTGCATCCCTGTGAACTCACAACCTACTTGGACTTGGGTCCGGTCCTGGCTTTCTGGGATCTGAGTCTCCAGCATCTGGCTTTGTCCCAGACCTTACTTCTCCTTGGTCCCAATGAACGGTTTCTTCCAAGTCTGGCCTTGTCTGTACCCCACTGTCCTCCCCTGAGGACCTGGGGTCCTCTAGGTGCTATGAGGCCCAGTTTCAGCTGCTGGACCTCCTCACACTGGGTGCCTGTCAGGTCTCACACCTCCTCGGCGATCCAGGCAGAGCCCTGCACCCTCCCCGACACTGCTCCTCTCCGTGACAGTGCCACGGTTCACCCAGCCTGGACCCAAGACTGCCTCGCCTCCGTCCTGCGCCAGCCCCAGTCAGCCAAGCCCCTAACCCCGCCTCCGGCCCCGATCCCACAGGTCAGCCATGCCCATCCTGTGGGTACACCCGCACTCACATCCTTGTCGCCTTTCTTCTTGCGTGTCTGCACCGACAGGGACTCCACTTCACTCTCAAACTGGTCCACCTGCATGTTTAGAGTGTCGATCGTGTTCTGAAAGGGAGGAAGGGAAGACAAGTCAGCCGCCGTCCCCTTGGATGCCTGGGTGCCAGGGCGCCGAGGCCACCTCCTCTCTTCGGCCCCACTCACCGTGAGCCACTGGCCAACCTCCTCCTTCTCCTTCTGGGCGGGGTCCACCTTCTGCGCCAGGCCCAGGCCCTCCTTGCTGTAGGCTTTGGTTTTGGTCTCTCGCTCCACGACTTTGAACCGCTCCATTTGCTGTGGAGAGTGCAGTTGGCAGGAGGCCCCCAGCCCGTCGCCTGCCCCCTTCCCTTGGTGTAGAGCCTTGGGGGCCTTCCCACCTCTCAGGTGCCAGACTCTGGGCTCCTACCGTTTCAATGAGCTTGCGGTTCTCTATGAGCTGCCTCTTGTCCTTGATCTCGTTGGACGCTACCCATGTCTTGATCTGGTCCCTCAGCCGCTGCAGGGAAGAGTGAGACAGTCAGACTGCCTGAGGATCTGGACACCGAGGCCCCCAGTCCTCCTCTCCCTGGGACCCAAGAGTCCACTCTCCCCATTCCTGCCACCCTCAGGACACAGGCGTCCGGGCCCCCAGCCCCCTCACTTGAAGCTTCTTAATCTCCTTCTTTAGGTCAGCCTCATACTTTTCTTTCTGGTTCGCGTTGGCTGCATTGTGGAGCTGAGGGGTGGAGAGAATCCACGTCAGTGTGGGACTGGCTGCCCTAGTGCCCACCCCGGTCTCTGTGTGTTAGGGACTCTGGGGATACCCCCCAGCCCAATCCATCTCAGAGCTGCTTCCCTGAGGTCCTCAGTACTTCCTCTCCCAGGTCTATACCCAGAGACCCCTGAACCTCTTCCTGGGCTCTCCTCCCTGGAGACCCAGATTTTTAGGGCCCAATCTCTGTACCTTCTGCCAAATATCTTCAAACTGCTCGACGCCCTCGGACACCTTCTTGAGGCAGCGATCAATCTCACCTGGCCGGGAAGGAAGGCAGGCAGTGAGCACCTGCCAGGGAAGCAGGCACCCAAAGAGGAGTTCCGAGGGCACGTGGCCACAGGCTGTGGGCAGTGGCCGAGTACCTTGGAGTTTGCGCTTGTCCGCCATCTTCCCTGCCCTACAGATGCACTCTCTTCATACTCTCTTGGAGATGGACGCTGCTGGGGAGATTAAAAAGGATGCACATTTATTCTTTGGCTGGTGCAATTCCAGAGACATGAATGAGGCTGGGGAAAGGGGGGTGCACAAGACGGTGAAGGGAAGACGCATCTACTATCTGATGACAAGGACCTGGCCCAGCTTCCCATGCTGCTTCGATTGCTCAGCACAGGGTCTGGCCCACACCACCACTCTCAAGTTTTTTGAAACAAGTAAATACGTATACTTTTTGTGTATGTCTGACCCAGGAAATGGAAAATTCCTAGAGAGGGGGGCACCTCGTCCCCAGATGAAACCCACAAAAGGATTTTTCAGAGCAGGAAAAAGCCACGCAGCGCACAGCTAAATGCTAGGGATGAAGGAGTGAGAGTGGCGACCTCACTTACTATCGAGGGGTTGGGGACGCAGGCGACTAGATTCTAACACCTGGAGACGTTTCTCTCATCCAAGTCAAGGACAAAGAACAGGTGCATCTCATGGAAAAGCCCCTGTGAGGGACACAGGGGAGGCAGCAGGGACAGAAATGCTTATACTGTGATGACCTAAACCCACTCACTCAGACAGGGCTGGCTCCCAAGTAGAAGGGAGCCTTAGAATGTAAAAAGTTGATACCAGAGCAAATTCTGAAACCAAAGGAGGTAACATGCCAAACCCAAAGGGGCCAATGCCAAGAAGGGTCCGAGGTCTGGGGGCATGGCCAAAGAGAGGCCAGGAGGCAAGAACTCTTAGGAGGACGAGGGTGAAAGCGGACCTTCACTGTGAGGCAGCTATCTGTACACCTGAAGGAGTTGCATATCAAAGCACTGGTAACAGAGACTCAGGGTAACATAAACCCTCAGGGCCAGCACCCAGTACTCACGAGAGGGGCACCTTCACCTTAAGAAAAGTTACGTGGGACCCAGAGGGGACTGAGGTCCAAAGGGAGTCACCAGAAGCTTTGGCCTGGGAGCAGGGGAAGCTACACCTTTGGGCCCAGTATCAAGACCAGGAGAGACTGGGAACTCTGGGAAGGGAGAGCTATGCCAAGAGGACTCCTTCGCTGCCAGGCCGCACCCCAGAGACGGGGCCTTTACAGAAGGCCCGGCTAAGATGGGGGAGCTCCCACTGTGTGAGCCCAGGGCAGGATATCCCAGAGCAGGAAGAACCCTATGCCAAGGACTGAGAGCCTCAACCCCAAGGGAAATCCCCACCCACAGGGAAAGAACGTCTCAAGAGCAGTTCTGTGCAACAGGACTTTCTGCAATGACAGGCATGTCCTGTGTCTGCGACACTTAACGCCCAAAATGTGGCTAGGACCACAGAAGAGTGGAACTTTTCATTTATATGTTCACTAGTTAAATTTAAATCGCACCTGGCCAGTAGCTACAGGTAGGACAGGGCAGCAGAAAGCAGGCTGTGACCCAGACAGAGGCCCATAAAGACAAGGTAGGTCCCTCAACCTCAGGGAGGCTATACTGGTCCCTCTGCAGGGACCCACTCTGCATGGTGGTAGGTGGCAGTGACACCTGGGATTTGAGAGAGTATAAATCTCCTGCAACAAGCCAAGTAAGAGAACTAGTGACACTCTCAGCCTAGGGCCAGCTGACACGCCCAAGCCCGATCCAAGGAAAATCCCAGCTGCAAGAAGCTGACGTAGCCAGAAAAAGGACCCAGATGATAGTTGCACAGAGGGGACTCAGCCCAAAAAGCACAAGAGGGCCTGGACCCCAACACTGAGGCTGCAGGGATGAACCTTTAGCTCTAACACCTGATGCAGAAAAGCCTCTTACTGCCCAGGGATGGGATGAGGGGACAGGGATGTCACGTAAGAGTGTGCTCCGTGCCTTCACCCCAGGAGCCCAAAGCAGGGCCAGGTGCTCCAGACAAGGAAGAGAACCCCAGTTTATGCCCCTAAACAAGGCACTGCTCTCTTTGGTGCGGGGATGCCCCCTCCCAGCCCCCACACTGAGAGTCAGACTGCCTGGCCTGGGGAAGGGGTTGAACCCACTGCCAAGAGGGGGACAGACTGTAAAAGCAAGAACTCCTGAAGGAGTCGGGAGCAAGGTTCCGGGGGACAAGAGCCCTAGCCCAGGGAGGAGGCAGCACCTCAAAGTGGCACAGCTGAGACCTGGACAGGACACCATGTGACCTGGGAGGCAGCTCCTCCAGAGGAGGGCAGGCACCACAGGCCCAGGGTACCTGCGCCCTGGAGACTGGGCACTACAGCGGGCAGGAGCATCAGCTGCACAGGTAGCAACACCCCTCCCTCCGAAGTAAACCTCCCATGGAGATGGATCCCCCCCACTTCAGATCCCCAAGCAAAGGACCAGAGGGCAAGGAAGCTGAGCTTGAGTCTGGAAGTGAAGATGCCACCACAGAAGAGCCCCACTGCTCAGGGGATCCACCTAGACCCCCGATGGCTGCAGGCCCGCTCCCAGGCAGCGACAGGTCTCCAGCCGTGCAGAGGAACCTGGGAACTTTGGCCCAGAGGGCTTAACCAAGAGGAGTTCCTTGTGCAAGAGGAAGGCACATGCCCACAGTAAAGGCGCCTACACTGAGGGTGTATGGGTGAGCAGTGCACCAGACCCCAGGAGCCAGCACTCATGAAAGAGCCCCCAAATCTTCACAGCGGGGG